GAGGACTTCTTAAACACGCAAAAATGGTGTTAGTTATTGATGCACGTTGTGATGAGTGGACTATTTTCATCATGTATTAGGAGAAACGGCAATTCAGTTTTGAGTACGGGCGCTATGGTAACCCAACGACGGAGGTTTTAGAGAAGAAGATAAGGTAGGCATTTGGAGGTATATTGATCTTGAAAGTTTTCCATGTGCTAGAGCAGCACTAATGTTTCTTTTAAACCAGTGCTCTGGAGGGGGCTGAATCAACTTTGGTTCTGTCATCTGGGATGTGTGCTTGCACCGTTCTTTTGATGGCGCTGGTTCCAGCTGGCGGGCATATTGTCACCACTACAGATTGCTATAGGAAGACCAGAATTTTCATTGAGAATTTTCTCCCAAAAATGCGCATCACGGTAATATGATGCTTCCTCTCATTCTTGGTCTTTCTTCCTTTCCGTTCTTTCATTTTCCTCTTGTAAATTTTTTCTTGGTATTGAGGGAGAACAATATGCTTCTTTTCTCGTTGTTCTAAATTTGTGTAGCCTGTAAAACTTCCTCAGATGTTTTTACCTAAAAGATTTTTAAGGATAGAAATTTAATAGGAAAAGACTTCACTGTGGAAGTCTTGATAGTAGAAAGAGGGAACTAAAAATAATATTTCTACAGCAAGATGTGCTGAATGAATAACTGGGTTTTGAGGATAGCTTCTGGTAAAGGTAGATTGAAATATTTTTGTTAGGCTGCCAATTGATGCTACTTCCTTTTTACATCTTTGCCACAGATTTTGTGGTTATAAAACTCAATTTTTTCCCCTTTACGGTGCAGGCTACTGTTATTGATCCAGCTGATATGGGGGCTTTGGAAGCTGCACTGAATGAAAACAATGTCGGTGGTGATGAGATAAATGAATTCCTCTTTGTATCTCTCTGTCTGTGTTAATGATAATTCTAGCATATGGTTCATTTCGCGTTATTTGTATGCATGCAGGTGTCTCTCTTCTTCACTGAGTCTCCCACCAATCCATTCCTCAGATGTGTTGATATTCAGCTGGTTTCAGAGCTTTGTCACAGAAAAGGAGCTTTGGTGTGCATTGATAGTACATTTGCCACAGCTCTGAACCAGAAAGCCCTTCCCCTTGGGGCTGATCTTGTCGTGCAGTCTATAACAAAATACATTGCTGGTCATAATGATGTAAGTCATTCTCATCTTGTCCGGACAAGGTAGTTGGCTTTAAAAAAAAAAAAAAAAATCTATCAATCGGTGTCTCATGGTTAATTTATAAGTCATTTTTTCTGGTTTCAGGTTATCGCTGGCTGTATAAGTGGTCCAGAGAAGTTGGTTACCCAAATTCGCAATTTACATCATGTTTTGGGTGGTACTCTCAACCCAGTAAGTCTTCTATAGTAACCCATGCCCTTTAGCGGTTTAACCTGTTACCTGGATTCACAATTTACATCAATACATCATGTATCTTATATATAGGACCAAAGGAGTATTATAATTATTGTTCCTGTGCCATGCCTAATAGAATGCAAATGTGTTCACTTAACAGAATGCTGCATACCTTATCATCAGAGGCATGAAAACTTTGCATCTTCGTGTACGGCAGCAGAATTCTACAGCGCTGAGGATGGCCAAAATTTTAGAGGCACATCCTAAGGTACAATGCATTTATATGTTCTATGTCACTGCCATTGATTCGGATTTTGGATAAGGACTTGTTTTTATGAGATAGAAAGGAGTATGTGAATGAGAAAGGATGACCTTTTTTAATCAACATTACATCTCCGTTGAATGTGTTATTAATTACCAAAGTATGTCTGCCAAACTAATTTCCCCACATTTTTTACGATGGCTGACATGCTCATGGGTACTGCTTATTGGAGTAGATAGTGATGTTTGATTATGTTTTCTTCATTCATATTGATGTGAATTTCTTATTGATCTTTTGTAGGTCATTAATCAAGATCTTCTGGATAATTGTGTTGAAGCTAGCATATGTCTTACAGTCTTTCTTTTTTTCTTTTTAAACTATTTATTTATTCTATTATATTATGGGTTCTTGGTATTAGTTTAGTATTTTAGGACTCAATATTAATGCATATTGATGCCAACTGGACACGTTTCTATTGCTTTGCATGGGAATGTTCAAATTTCTTGAAAGAAACGCATGACTTGAAGTACTTAGTATCCCCTGCTTTTACAAAATTATTACTCGTATGAACAATTACAAATGTGGTTTTATGTTGATGGCACATCATCAATGAATAATAATAATAGAGTATTTGAATTTTATGTAGAATTGTTGTTTTCAGATGAATGTCCTGAGAAATCATGTCTTAAATCTTGCTTCTGATATGATGTAATACTATTGGCAGGTGAAGCGTGTGTATTATCCAGGCTTGCCTAGTCATCCTGAACATGAGCTTGCCAAGAGGCAGATGACTGGTTTTGGAGGTGTTGTCAGTTTTGAGGTGCGTACTGTCTGTCTCTTTCCATTGCAGGACAGCTGCTTGCTGTCATTTTCTTTCGTAACAAGTTTTGCTTGATGCTATTTATGTCGTTAATATTTGATATCTCCTTGCTTATCATACAGATTGACGGGGACTTGGAAACCACCAGTAAATTCGTTGATTCACTGAAGATTCCATACATTGCTCCGTCCTTTGGTGGCTGCGACAGCATTGTGGATCAGCCTGCCATCATGTCTTACTGGTACTCTATAAATTCGTTGTTTTATTCCTAGCTGATCACTGCTTGTCATGGGCAAGGTCCTATTATCTGGTTGTTGCCAAAGTTTTCTTCAGTGGGTTTCATGATTTATGATATCGTATACGTTTATCCTGCAACAGGGACCTTCCCCAGTCTGAAAGAGCCAAGTATGGGATTCACGATAACCTGGTCCGTTTCAGCTTTGGGGTCGAAGACTTCGAAGATGTGGAGGCGGATATTCTTCAGGCTCTGGAAGCCATATAAAGTGTGCGGTCACTGAGGCCATATTGATTTGGTTCCTTGATCTTTGCTAGTGAATCAATTTGAGCTTGATCATCACGCCTCCTGCAGGCTTTATGTTCATGGATTTTAATAATCTCAGTTTCATTTTCGGGTTCAGTGTTTCTCTAGTTTTTCTGAAACTTCCATCTGATGTTTGATTTTTGATGAATCTATTTGAGTTTGATCATCACGCCTTCTGTAGCGCTAGCATTTTAGCTATAACGATTTTTTCTTTAAATCAAACATTTTTTCATTTGAATAACAAAAAAATGTAATTTTCTATTTATAGGATTTATTATATCCATCGATTTATTGATATTATTAATGTAAATATATAATTTAGTAAGAAAATGGGTAAATTTTTCTGTTGAAGCTGTCATCATTTAAATCAAAACAGAGTATTGCAGCGACGAAGCTTGAGTATGATATTAAGGTGTGATGTGAAATATTGAGAATTATAGGTGAGAATTTAGGATTGGAATCAAGAAAACACATTGAGTATTTAAGTTGAAGTATTGCTTGTTATTTAGAATTAAAAAAATTCATGTAGGTGTTTTTATTTATATAGGTTTGTTTAATCTCAAGTACTCTCTCTGTTCTTATTATAAGGTTTTTTTTAATGGATTTGTCTCCTTTTATAAGGTTTTTTTTGGGTTTGTCTGAATATTTAATGTATTGTTACTTATTTTACGTCTAATAAATTTTATATATTACATTCTCTCTCTATCTTATTATTACTCTCTTATATTTATTGGGGGTATATTTGGAAAAAAATTTACATGTTACATATGAATTGTTTTTAACTAATTTTAACTGTTTTATTAAAAAGCGTAATTTGACCAAAAGGTTCTTATAATTAGAAACAGAGTAGTAGTGAGCAATGGTTTATATTGAATACTTTTTTATATTGTTTTTCTCAATTTTAATTACAATTCTTACTTATTATTTTTGGAGTCTATTTGGTTGAGGGATTGGAGAGGGCAAAAGCAACTTTTAGAAAGTATGCAAGTTATTTTGCCTATAAAAACTAAGCTAATTTTTATAGCTTATGCCTTATTTTGTTCATGTAAAAGCAACTTTTCAAAATCAAAAGACATTTTTTATTTTTATGTTTATGTTATTCTTATATTTTTTAAATATTTTTTTGGTGCTTGTCAAGCAATTTTTAGTTATTTATTTTTAATGTTTTTTAAATAAAAAAATAATCCTTAACAAAATTTTTATGACATTTTTTTATTATTTTTCATGTTTTATGTTTAAGTAAATTATGTAGAATATATCATCCAATTAATTACGTAATATTATTTGGTTAAAAAATTATCACATTACTATGATTTTTAATTTTAATATATTTTATTCATTAAATATAAATTTTTCTTATGAGAATAATTTAAAATTATTATATTTTGGAAATCAATATTTTTAATAATATTTTATTATTTAATAAAAGTGATACTTATTTTGGTTATTCTACAAATTACATTTATTTATTCAATCATAATTCAAACAACTTTGTTACTTTGCAAATTAACATTTATAAAAGACAACTCAAATATAAATCATATTATCTAATCTTTTTTTTAGCTAATTTAATTTTTTTAAAAATCAGATTAAAAATAAATTAGTTTTTTTAACGTCAACTAGAGAGGCTCTTGCCAAACCGGACCTAAATTCTATGACGTTCTCACGCCAAAGATAAATCCATGATGTTCACTTGGGCAGCTGGGCGAGTTGTCGGGCGAGTTTGGAAAAGGCGGTGGGCCATCCCTATTTTTTGGAGGTCATGTGAGCTTACGATTGACTAAGAATAGGTAGATTGTGAACGAAAAGTCTTGCAATGGGGGATGTAGCTCAAATGGTAGAGCGCTCGCTTTGCATGCGAGAGGCACGGGGTTCGATCCCCCGCATCTCCAAAGTCTCAATTTTGCTTAGTGCTACGCTATGGACGAGGGAAAACGATCGTGCATTACATTGCCATTTGTTTTTAAATTTAAAATGCTCATTCACTGTACATTTTGCAACAAAATCTGCCTGCGTATGCATGTATGTATGTTTTGTCTTTTGCTGGTCTGATGCAATCCTTGACCATTAATTATCATTAGAATTTTAAAAACTGAAACGTGAAAAATTAAACAGAAGGAGAAGAAGCAATGAGCGCGATTTTAACTTAAATCCGATAAATATATATGGGGCGTCGTCGTTATGAGAGAACTAGCTGGCTAGGTCGAATTCTTTAACTTGCTCCTCTGGAATGATCTGTAATCTGCTAACAACCTGAACTTGTATCCTCTCTTGATGTCCTCCACGATTGTCCTTATAATCTGTTCATTCATTAGTAAACTAATCAGACCCATTATATAATCACCTACTGATTATGATCATAAGAGACGACAAGATGAGGCTAACCGAATCCAAGATATTGTCCAACACATGCTGAGGAACCCAAGAGAGAAGTGGAGGGAAAACAATGGTAACATTGGCCTCTAACTGATTCTTAATAATGCAGCTACCATCATCAGTTGCATGAGTTAGAGGGCGGTACAAGGTTCCAGAAGCTTCGAGGCTAAAGAAAGGTGGCGTGTAATCTGAATGCAGCCCTTGAAACTCCCACCTTGTCTGCAGATTGTAACTAATTAGGGTTTGTAATTAAGAAAAGCTTGAGGGATCTATCGAGCGAACAAGAACGAAGTGCTTACAGTGCGAGTCTCGTAGAGCTTGGGGATGTGGGAAGGAACATGAGGAGGGTAATCTTGTCCATTCGATTTTGTTGTCACTCTTACGTCTATCACTGGCTCTACCTTCAAGAACAGGGCTTGTATCACTGGCATGTTTATTCTCCACTCTTCCTGCTTAATTGCATCACATCATTTCTTCAACTAAACGCGATTCACTTCTTTTAACATCAAATACTAAAAGCAGGTTAACTAAATCTGAAAACGATCTTTTTAAATTTATTTTCATGATAAATAAAGAGAGATTTCAGCCGGTGACTTTAATATATCTGTTGATAAACCATGTGTTTGCACTCTGCACTTTGCCGTTGTGATCTCATCATATATATTGAAAACCATAAATCCTATGGCTTTGGTGCGTTTTTGGCATGAAGCTAGAAGTACACTTAAGAGTTGTAAAATTCAGGGCGATACAAAAGGGAAACCGAACATTTTGGTACGCACATAAGAGGAAAAAGACAAAGAAAGACGAGAGTGAGTTGGAAGTTGCTTGTGCTTTGTTTGGCAGTTGCGTGAACTGAAGAGTATATACCTGATTGAGGCGTAAAGCTGTTGATTTTTCTGGAATGATAGCTCCCATTACTCTTCCCATGTCCTCCATGTACTCTTCAAACCAATCCTGCAAGTACCCGTCATTCATAATTAATAATCTTATATAATACAATTGGTTAAAATATTCGCCTTGATTATATGTAAAAGGTTTTCATCAACAGGGAATACTCAAAAGGGATATTTTAAATAAACTAATACATATTTATTACAGATAATTAACTTAGATAACTTCTTTGGTAATTATAAAAAGTTATCCAGCTTAAGACCGGAGGGAGCATAACATAACCAGAACAAAGAAAAGAAACAAAAAGATTCTAATATTAAAAAATGACAGAAAGAGGATATATATTTATATACATACCGGAGGAGCACCGGGGAAGTGGTGGAGAGGGACGTTGTCAAAGGTACGGTAGGTGAAGGTGCAAGCTTTCCGATTGTAGATCTCAGAGTGGCGGGACGGAGGTCCTGATACAAATGCCTTTCGACGACGTCGTCGAGGCCTCAGCTGTGTCGTCGTCGTCATTATTTGGGCTACCAACCCGGTGGAGCAGCTCAGACGGGTTTGGAAGGGAAACAGTACGGTGGTTGCGGCCGCCATGACCCACGAATATCGATAACGTCACCTTATTCTTTGGATGATCATGCCTGTGAAGTTGTTGCCGTACTTTCGTTTTCCTATTTATACATGCTTGTTCCGCTTCCACTGCTGGTCGGACATATCATCCTTCTTCCTCCACAAGCAAAGGGAAAAAAAAAAAAACCGCGATATGAAAAATATTGCGTTGGATCCTTAACATAAGAATTAGTTCAAGTTTTAATTTGGTCTTAAATATAAGATTTTAATTCATTTTGTCTTCAATATTTATTTATTTTGCCCTCAAGTAATCCTTGCAGTGGTTGCATGTGTTAATTAAGAAGTTATTATATCAATTTGTAATTCAAACATACATAATTAATAAAGGTATTTTAGAAGAAACAATATCTATTTAGTACAAATAATTAGCTTAACTAATTTTCTTAATCTCTCCAAATTAGTCAATTAATAAGTCTTATATCAAAGACCGGAAGTAGTATCTAGTTAATTTTTACCAATATCTTTAAATCACCTTATTTTTCACAAATGATTATATAATTTTTTTGTAAGACGAAAATAACATGAAAGCAAATAGGGTTTGGTAAACATGACGACCTACCTTTAGTTGCATGCATGATTCATTGGTTTGTCTGTTTATGTTAGGTTTTTTAATGATTATTTTATTAGTAATCATAATTTGTCACGTTAGTGAATTTCGTGCTCCTGGGATTACACAAGCAGAAGACAATAATGCATGATACACGAGTCAATAGCATATAAAATTCATACTCGTGTAATGTCCATCACTAATTATAATATCAAATTTATTTGAACAGAAATATATAAAGAAAACAATTAAATTTTGGTTGATCGCCTTTTATAACTTATCCTGATCGGCTAGTCTGCTTGGGGACCTGGAATCACCAACTTTAATTTAATTTGTCTACTCAAAAGAGAGAAAAAAAATTGAATATCGATGATCTCTCCAGGTTTTGAGGTATGTGAGAATAACATGACTAAGTAAAATGCCAGTGCTCATCCTGTGAGCATCGTAGAGCTTATTGCTACTAATTTAATTCTCCCACTACTCTTCCTGCTTTCATCCATTAATTATTAATCAATATTTAATGATCTATCACGGCTTAATTTCGTTCACATCAGTTGCTTATACGTGTTGTTTTGTAATAGCTAGAAACTAATTAATGCAGGAACGAGGAATGATAGTGACGTAGGGATCAGTGAATAAATCACCCTTGTCCCGTTTGGATGCGACACCGGCTTGTAATGATTAGTGGCGTGGAGTGTTTAGATAATAAATGTCAAGTTTGTCTAATAGATTTTATTTTCACTCTGAATCATAATTAATTTATTGGGAAGGATATGGTTTTTCTAGGATTGGAGTGATCTTTTCTGTGAAGAAAAATTTTGATATAAAATCTTAAATTTGCCGGGGAAAAATAACAACTCGTTAGATACAGCAAAACATAGAAAAGAGGTCGTATTAACTAGTTATTATTAAGTAAATTTCGTCAAAAAAGGAAAAGCAACAAGGAAATTAGGGAAGGAAAGAAAACAATCATAAGAAGAGAAGTTGTACACGAACACAATAGGCTTGTCTTTGCTTCTCTCATGTTCCCTTTCAAAGAAGTTGAGAGGTTGAACTTGCGTATAAGCTCTTCGCAAGTAAAACCACCCCGCAACCCCAAAAAACAACAAACAAAAGAGTGTGCGCGTATGACAAAAGTAGTACCCCGAAAAAAAAAAGAAAGAATCTATATTTGAAAATTTTATTCTGATTCAAATTGGAGTGCTACTATTTCCTGTGTCAGTACTTTTGATGCATAAAATATATCAGAAAGTAGTAAAAATTTTAAATGAAAAATTTTTCGTTCATTTTTATATATATATAGTGAGTCAAAGGTAAATATTATCAAATTTAATTAAAAATAAATCTTATAGTCTAATTATTTTATCGATTCAAAAGGCTGGAACGTACAAAATATTGACAAAAGAAATCGAGTCCCTTTTATTCAATTCAAAATCATCTTTGAGAAAGCAGGCAAATTTTGACAAAACTCTCAGGGTGGCCACCCGTCCTCTCTATGGGCAACACACAGGCCCATACGAATGCTATAGCTTGGCCCATTGTGGCTGACAAAAAAAAAACCCCTTGTCAGTTGTTTTGACTTTTGAAGATACCAGTTATTAATTCTTCCATAAACAAGGTGATTTTCTAACATGATAAGAAAAAAGATTAATTCTCATACGAAACCATATCTGCTTTTTTGGGGGGAAGCCATCTTTAAATTAGTTTTACAAATGTCTTGTGTAAAACGAAACGGGCATCGAATTTGACATTTAAATATCAATGACTAATGGTATTTAGTAAATTCTTATTTAAATACATCCACTCAAATATCCAATGACAGGTATCATGAAATCTAAATTTGAGAAAATAAACTGAAAGAAGTGGGATCGGACCATATAAAAAAAAAAAGATTTTAAAACCCAGAGTAAATTTTAAAAGCTAATTGGCGAAAATACGCCTTTAATACTTCAATTTTATTTAAGTTTTTGCTTTGGTCTTTCAATTTTATAAAAGTGTCTTTTTAGAGTCTTTTGATCCTAATGTGATTAAAAAAACCATTGACATTGAAATTTTACATATTAAAAAAAATTCTATATATTATAATTATTATTACTAAAAAATTTTATTTTGAGACGAATGTCATCAGGTTTCGAAGACTTTTTTTTTTTAATTAGGAGATAAGACTGGAATTTTATGCATAATTAAAGGATAAGAATGCATTTTTGACAAGAGAATTAAATCTCAAATATTTATTGAAGTTACTGAATTGGCATTTGGATCTGAATTGACACGTAAGGAATGAGGTAATATCCATAATCCATAGTCCATAGAAAACAGAGTTTATACTGCCTTAATTATAAAAGATCATTTATAGACTACAGATGAGGCTTTAAGAGTAAAGGTAATATTTCTGATGTTGGGCATCCCAATGACATGGACAGAGATAGTATGGACTGATAATAACAAGCACCTTTTTCTTCTTGGTCAAAAAAAAAAATAACAAGCACCTTTTTCTTTCTCTCTCCTTCGTCTCTGTCCTTAGCGCCCTGTAAAGGCTCATCTATCTCTCTGGTTGTTTTTTCTCCTTGTTTTTTGATTCTCAGTTATCGCTGAAAAAAAACAAGGCTCATCTATTCTTACTCTAAAGGCAAATTTTCTCCAAAACCTCTTTCCTCGCTCTGTAATTTTTTTTTTTGGTTGTCTTTTGTTTTGTTCTATAAAATCATTGGTAATATAGTTACTGAAAACATTTCAGAGTAAGTATCATGCACCTATTATGGTTTCCTCCACAGAAATTTAATTTGTCATCACATACTACTCACTTGTTGTGAGATTTTTTTAATAATTGAATTACTGTGTGGGATTATAAATTAATTTTTTTCTTTTCTTAACGCGCAATGACGAAAAACTCAAGGCTTTATTAGGGAAAAAACATTAAACCGACCGTCACTGATAATTAATTCATTCTCTATTTACAATTCCATTCCATATTAATTCTTTCAGAGTACTAATACTAGGGAGAATATAGCGTGAATAACCAAATTCATAAATTAATTATTAACAATGTTATCAAATTTATAACCCGCCCAAAACCGGTTTGGGTGCTCATATCTCTTAGATCTGGTTTGGACGTTCGGATTTAATGTTTTTTTATTTTTATTTTTTAAAATAATTATAATCTTTTGATTGTGACTTTTTAAAAAAACAATTTCTTATTTAAAAATAATTAATTAAAAATAATTAAATCTAGACCGTCTAAAGGAAATGGGCTTTAAGTGCTCATTTTTAGCATGATGAACCACCCAAACAATGCAAACTTTTGGACAAATTATGAGTATTTATGATTCAAATAATACAAATTTACAACTGGAAAGATGAGCTTTTGGTGCTCACTGAGACGGTTTCCTTGTCACTTAATTATACCATGGGTGATTATAACTTGCAGCTGGCATATGAGCTTCATTTTCCTTGGTCAGTTATAATGGGACTAGTAATTAAGAATCTAGTTGTGCGCGTTACAACGTATGAATTGAATCCCAACAAAAATAGCCATAGCCCAACTATAATCAAATAATTGTACGTATAGGACCACTTCTTCATTGCATAAATAATGACAAATTACCTTTTCGATTCTGTGGACAAGAAAGAGTGAACGTTGGCTCTTCAGATCTGTCCACGCATCATATTATACCTGCTGTGCTAAGATTGCACCCAAGTCCTTCTGTTTGAAGCGCCACCATCTATACACTGTACCAACAAAAATAATAATCACAGTATAAGCCGAATAACTTAATTGAACATAATAAATGGGGCATCTTTCGTGAAGTTCTCACATGGAGACATCCTCCTCGGGACTGAGAACTGGCAAGTGGTGTAAAGAAGAAGATGATCTTCTCAAGGCCTGTGTTCTTAAGTATGGTGAAGGAAAATGGCACCTTATTCCTCAGAGATCAGGTATGCCCTATTAAATTTTTGTTTTCCCCCCTCATTATCAGGCACTTATACCCACGTTGTAATTAGATGAGTACTGACGAATATAGTTGATGTATGTACAAAGTGGGTCTCATTTCAGTCACGAGTTCACTATTCATGCATAGTTATATATTTTACAAAACCAAAAATGACAAAATTTTGAAAAGAAAACGTACAAATTAAAATCAAATTACCATTTTGTGATTTGCTTTGCGGAGGCTTGAAAAGATGCAGAAAAAGCTGTAGGCTGAGGTGGTTAAACTATCTGAAACCGGACATCAAGTGGGGAGACTTCTCTGAGGATGAAATTGATATGATGATCAGGCTTCACAGACTCCTGGGAAACAGGCACGTCATTCTCTATATCTAGTTCATATGCCTTATACTCTTACAAGTCTTAGTTAATTACAACTAATCTGATGGCGTTTTAAACGACTTTGTTATCAAATATAGAGCGATGTATAGTTAATTTTTTTGATATGTATGTAGATGGTCACTGATAGCTGGAAGGCTTCCTGGAAGAACACCAAACGGTGTGAAAAACTACTGGAACACCCATATGAGTGAGAAGGGACGAGTTATTTCATCTCAGGGGAGAGAGGTGGAAGAAAAAGCACAGGAAACAACCATGAGAAGCCGTACACCAACAGCAATAAAACCTCAAGGTTTCAGGTTATCGCCATCAAGAAGCTCATCGTCTTGGTGGAGAAATAAGAATCCAGATGGTGGTGAAGTTAGCGAAGACAAAAGTGCAAGCAGTAGTAGTGGGCCAGATGAAGAGCAAAACCAGAAGCAGGTAGATGAGGAGTCGGTGGAGTGGTGGAAATGCTTGCTTCTTGATGATAACGACATTGAGAACGAAGGTCAAGAGAAAATTGGCTCATCATTATCAACATCATCATCAACGTCATCCACGGAGCAAGATGGCAAGTCTGATCAATTCTGGGACCAGCAACTTACTTGGACTGATGACTTTCCTCTAATCACCACTCTCCCGGATTTTCTAGCCTAAATTATTTCCATTACTTACTGTTGTGGGAAATAAATATTTGTATGTTCTCTTCATCAATGATAAGTCTCATTGCATATCCATCAGCAGGTTGGAGTGAGGCCAGGTCAGATGAATTTACAGATAATAAGACACGACAGAAAACAAGGGCAGTGTTTGGGGCAGTTCAGGAAATTAAAACCAAACCAACCACCAATGTCTAGCAATTGAGATCATGGTTAATATTTCTGTTCAAAGCACCAATAAAATATATAGGAAGTGAGCAAGGCAGTTTCTGGTGGCTAGACCATGGAAGGGAAATTTGCCGTTATATATTGTTAATGGTGTGATTTTCTAATTTGGAGTGATTCGCATCATTTAACTGCTACTATATGTTTAGAGGGTCCCCAAATGGACGTTCCCCAAATCCAAGAATTTCCCTCCTAAACAGACGCCTAAACATAATGTATATCTGCCAGTTATGATGGGGTATTTTGTAGGGGGAAAAAGTCATATAAATTACAGGAAGTTTGAAAAACTAACGAGCTTCCCTATTTATAGATCATAAACATCATACAACTAGTTAACATTTTCATATTATATTACCTCTGGACCTAAATATAAGAACTAGTTGACTAATTTAAGTAGATTAAAAAAATAAATTAAATTAGTTATTTGTAATAAGTAAGTGCTGTTTTTCCTAAAATATTCTTGCTAATTAAGTTTATTGGCTAGAATCATTATTATTAGAAAGACTGTCTTGAGAAAAAATGAATAAATATAAGAGTCAAAGTGGATTAGGATTTTATATTTAGGACTAAAATAAATATCAAATGAAGTCTTACATGCATTAAGGATTGGAGGTAGTATATAGATAAATCATGTAATGGCACTCGTACAACGTTTGTTTGTCGATAGCGTGATTGCATTATATTGTTGGTGGCAATATGTAATCCGCCATGTAGATGTAAACAAATTAAATAAAAAAAAGAAATATTGAACCATGTTAAGTAATACTATATATATAAATATATATGTATGTATATATTAAAGAACTAATCCAAGTTCTTGAACTTGCTTGTCTGGAATGACCTATAATCTGCCAACAATCTGACCGTGCATCCTTTCCTGATATCCTCCACGATTGTCCTGATAATCTGTTCATTAATAATAAACTAATCAAACCCTTAGCCACGTACACACTCATCATCTTGTTATTGGAACCTGATTATAATTATAAGCTATAGAGTAAGAGAAGAAAACATTAATTAATTAATGAGGCCAACCGAAAGCATGATGCTGTCCAGGACATGTTGAGGCACCCAAGAGAGAAGTTGAGGAAAAACAATGGTGGCATTAACGTTCAAATGATTCTTAATAACGCAGCTTGGAGGTGTTCCACGTAATGCTTCAGGGTACAGGGTTCCGTAAGCTTCGAGGTCGAAGAAAGGTGGCATGTAATCCGAATGCAGAGCTTGGAGCTTCCATTTGGTCTGCCAATGACCAAATGAAATGAAAAGCTATATATATAAATATATATGTATAATGACACGTAGAAAATAAATAAATAATATACTATTTCTGATTTTTAATATAAGAATTAGTTGACTAATTTAAATAGATTAAAAAAACTTGTTAAGGTGGTTATTTGTACAAATTGATGTTATATTTTTTAAAATACTCTTACTAATTATGTGTATTAACTAGAATTATCATTTAATAGAACTTTTAATATATGCAACTACTACAGAGGCAACTTTAAAAAAAAAATGAAAGACAAAGTAGATTAAAATATTACATTTAGGACTAAATTAAATGTTAAATTATTTCTTATATTAACTACAGGAGGTTGTAGTATATAAGAAGGAATTAAGTGCTTACAGTGTGAACTTCGATGAGCTTGGGAGTCGAAGGAGGAACATGAGGAGGGTAATCTTGTCCATTTGATTTGGCTGTCACCCTGAAGTCTATCACTGGTTGTATCCTTGTAAATATGGCTTCCATCACTGGCATTTTTACTCTCCACTCTTCCTGATGTTCATTGTATCACATTATTAATTATTCTTATATATATATGTAGTTACAGAAATTAGGCATAATTGGATCTTTTTTCTAATCACAATAAGCGATATATGAAATGAACTGATTAATTGAAATTTACACCGAGATGTACCATTTAATTTCAACCCAAAACTAATGACATCACTCAAATACGGGTTATGTTGAGATATATATATATATATATATATATATACACACTCAAAGCAGGTCATAAACAAGAGTGTAAAAGTATAGAAAAAATTATTTTGCAAGCACCTATATATTTTGATTAAATTCTTTAATTTTGCTTTGTTAACACTGTTAACTCCTATACAGAAATCAATGGTGCTAACAAAATAAAAAATTAATGGATTTAATCAAGAGAAAAAAAACACATGTGCAACAGATTAAAAATTAAGGAAAAATATGAATACCCGCAAGAAGGTTTTCTCAAGAATATATTCACTGGAAGCCATCCGTCTTTATTCACAAAACCCAAAAATTTGCTCATACGTGTCGGGTTTTCAGAAGCAGACTGTAAACACCGGTCCATGCGAAGCGGGAAAACTTAAAAACGGCAACGCATCACACAATCTTAATATAGGACAAACGATAAAGTCCCAGAAAGGAGAGAACATAATATTTGAGGGCATATCCCTCGGCAACCTACTTAACTACGTACGTGGTACATGCTATAACTCATATCATAACTACACCAAATTGAGTACGAAACCACCTAGCCAACTTATGATTAAGAAGGTGTTTGGATAGAAACTAAATCATAATTTTAAAAGTATTTTTATAATTTATGAAATAAATATGTAGAGAAATTTGTTTTGTTTTACAGGAAAGTGATTGCCAAACACCCCCTAATAGTTATACTCTAACAATTGTTTTGGATTGAGTGAAGTTATATGGAAAGATAAAGGGTGGAGAGAATGCTATAAAATTTTTTTTCAAAAATAGTTACAGATTTTATTATTTTTGACAGTTTTTCCTCGTAACAATATTTTTTTTAAAATTTTCTTTCTATGCTAACTAAGGATAATAATTGACAAATAAGTTTTCCTATAAATGACTCTTAGACGTGACGTATGGAATGGAATCGATGTAAAAAGGGTACGTGCACTTAATATTGTACTACCTCCGCTCTTTATTATAAGACCCCGTTTGATTTTTTGTTTGGTTTCAATTATAAGACCCCAATCCATTTTGTCTCTCATATTTATGTATTTTTTTCCAAGATAATCCTTCTAATAATGATAGTTCTAGTCAATATACTTAATTATCAAGGATATTTTAGGAATGACAACACTTATTTATTACAAATAACTAACTTAACTTACTTTCTTAATCTTCTTAAATAAGTCAATTGGATCTTATAATTAGGACCGGAGGTAGTATTGATCAGCAATTGAGAAGCGAAGTGCGCAGCCACGGAATAATCATATCATCGGGAAGAGATGTCTCTATAGAAATAGCGTGGCAGCCTTAATTTCCACGTTTTAACCGATGGACTCAAATGACGAAATTACCAAAACAAAGACGGTAAACAAGACGTGAAGATAATCAAGTACATGGTAATTTTTTCTTCTCTGGAAGAGAGATGAGAAATTAGAACTAATTAAACTCAATAATCAAACCAAAAACATTGATTGATGGGAAAGCAGTACTAGAGAGAGAAAATGATAATCCAGACCTGATTCAACCGCACAGCACTTGATCTTTCTGGAATGATAGCTCCCACTATTCTACCCGTGTCCTCCATATACTCTTCAAACCAACTCTGCCCAACCCAATCACTCATAATAACTTTGATGTCTTCCAAGTAAGTAATCAGATCGATTCGTGTAATAAAATTTGAAAGCAAGCACGGAGAGGTATTCGATCGAAATTTTAAAACACAACCACACCTATAGGAACTAAATCAGATGGAAGAGATTATAATGCACAAGCTCGTAAGTTTCAGTACGAGTATTTTGAACAAGACAGAAAGAATTTACAGAAGGATGGGAGGATACCGCAGGAGCACCAGGAAAGTGATGGAGAGGGACGTTATCAGAAACATTGTAAGTGAAGGTGCAAGCTTTCTGATTGTTGACCACCCAGCGGCGTGATCGTGACGCTGATGATGATACGAATGGCTTTTGACGACGTCGTCGTCGTTCATGTCTCTCTTGAGCTCTGATCAGCTGTGGCGGCCAAGTAGTGGTGCAGTAGCAGGGAAACACAATACTCGCCATTATGCTTCCAAGCTATTTCCTTCATTCAGTTCTTTGGTCATTTGGCGTCGCGTTTGTCCTTTCCTCGTCTTTTATAAATAAGTCGCCACGTGTTATTGAATTCATTTTTCTTATGAATGGTATAAAAAAGTTTAATGATAAGTTAAATAAAACTCTAATGATACCCATTCTTCAAATATATTTTTCACCTGTTTTTATCTTTTAGAGTTCAAGGCCAACTCTCGTGTCTATATCACTATGAATTCATACACAATGCCTCCAGTGCTATTTACAGTACACTTTTAACCACAATGACATGAATTGAAAAGCTTGATTGAAATTAGTTAAAAGTCTTCCTTCTTCCCACTTTATTTTTAATTAAAATTACTAACTTTAATTTTTGACTCTAATGTCGAGTGTATCATCCGAATAAATTAATATGATGTATAGACCTTTCGGAAATAATTCATAGATATTTAACTAAATTTTATAAATTGTCTCATATTACATGCTAAACAACAAAACTTCCAAAAAACTTTTTTTTTTCCTAACACTATCTCCGATCGTTATTACAAATGCTCCTCTCTCCTTCCGATTTTCATAATATATAATATATGTTCTATCTGTAGTATTAATGCTTCTACCTAATATTTTTAATTAACTATAAATTTTTTTAAATAATTAATTAAATTCTTTTAACTAAACTTTATATTGAGGATAATTTTAATATTTTATTAATTACTTTCAACTTATATAAAATGATTAATTGAAGTTTATGAAAATGAAATGAATTCAGTATCATTAGTTCTTATCTTCAGTCCTAAAAATAAAATTTAGTTTGTAGTGTAAATTATACTAAAAACTAGATCTTATATTTATGATAGAAAATAATATTTAGAACTCTTTCTGGTCTTTCTTATAAGCTTAAAATAACTAAAAATAGTTAAAAATAATAAATAGGTCAGAAATATAGTTTTATTTTCAAATTTGTCCTCATAATATATAAGAAAAATGATAAAAGAGAGCATATGAAAAAATGCCATACGAGGATATAACAAAAGAGAGATGATAAATAATTAAGAATAAAATTAAAAAATACATTAAATATTTAAATAAATCTTAAATTAAAATTTATAAGATAGACACACGTGTCTTTCTAAATTTAAAACCTAACAAATGGACTATGAGCCATGAGGTGTCACAAAGTCAACGAATCCGGTGAGGAATGAGGACGAGGCGGTCATTTTAGTCTTCTGCTAAAGTCAAGCCTGTGTGGGCACACAACTTTAAAGTCAAACAAAACTTAGTTAATTGCTCGTGGACGTTAACCTGCACGCCACATCACATCCTTTTGGAATCGATCCCTTTCGGCCCAATTTAGACTGTCCAAATAAACATTGAACGGTCCACATGTACAAGCAATTAAGCATCATCATACATGAAAAATGGGACAAAAGCTTTATATTCAAATAGAGAAATGTAGCATGACGGGGGTAGTGGCGTCACGATTTCAATTATTTCACGTGTAAACAAGCAAGCAATAAGTCACGTTGGTCTTTATCATGCCGAAGGAAGTATATATGCACACATCATGGCCTCTAATTATGGTTTGATTAATGTTAGTTGTTAGTCACCATTAATGCGGTATACATCAATCAAGAAGACTGCCCATTCGGGCAAACTTTTTTTTTTTTTTTGAAAATTTAAATAAAGGGACAAATCCCTCGTATATGTACCTCTAGCTGGTCTGACAGTACAAAATAGATCTTGTATCCGGCGGCCGCTTCCGGTGGCCTTCCTTTGTTTTTCTTTTTGCAACTTTTTTTTTAAAATAGTGGGGGAAGTGAGGTTGGGGGGATTTGATCCCCCAACCTAATGCTTCCCAAAATAAGAAATGACCATTGAGCCAACAAATTTTTGTTAACATTATGATGCAAAAAAAAAAAGTTAACTCATTTACTCTTGTTCCAGGTGATAACAATAATACATTTGGAAATAACAAGTTCTGATTGTAAAATAACACGTCTGGAATAAAAATTTAACAATATGTTTTTTTTATAACAATAAATTTTGTTGCAGGTAATAACAATAATACATTTAAAAATAACAAGTTCTGATTATAAAATAACAAGTTTGGGATTAAAATTTAACAACACGTTTTTTTTATAACAACACACTTTGTTTCAAGTGATAACAACAATACATTTAAAAATAACAAGTTCTGATTATAAGATAATAAGTCTGGGATTAAAATTTAACAACATGTTTTTTATAACAACACACTTTTTTTCAGGTGAAAACAACAATACATTTGGAAATAACAAGTTCTGATTATAAAATAACAAGTTTGGAATTAAAATTCAACAGCACCTTTTTTTTATAACAATTAATTATTTTATACTTTTGGAAAATAAATTATTTATAACTTATAAAAAGTACTTATAATCTATTTAATTTGCTAAAAAAATAATTTTTATCTCCAATTTATAATCAGAACTTGAAATATAATTTTTTATAGATTAAAAATACTTTTTTTATTGTTCAAATTTATAAATAAAATTTAGGGAAAATGGCAACACACTTTTTTAATTTTTTTTAAAAATTTTTTAATCTATATATCTATACAACTTATTATAAATCAAACTAATTCTTATAAATTATAAATAGTACAATTTATTGTGGATTAAAAATACTTTTTGACTGCTTAAATTTATAAATGAAATTTATCTCTAATTTATAATTAAAAATACTATTTTATTCTTTAAATATAAAAACTATTTTTAATATTTAAAGAATGAAATAATATAAAATTTATACTATGATTAATAGATTAAAAATGCCTTATTATAAATACTTTATAATTTATAAGAAGTAGTTTGATTTATAATGAGTTGTATAGATATACAGATTAAAAAGTATTTTTTAGAGAAATAAATATATTAAAAATATTTTTTATAAGTTATAAACAATTTATTTTTTAAAAGTATAAAATAATTAATTGTTATAAAAAAACGTGTTGTTAAATTTTAATCCTAGACTTATTATCTTATAATCAGAACTTGTTATTTTTAAATGTATTGTTGTTATCACTTGAAACAAAGTGTATTGTTATAAAAAAATCGTGTTGTTAAATTTTAATCCCAAACTTGTTATTTTATAATCAGAACTTGTTATTTTTAAATGTATTGTTGTTATTACCTACAACAAAATTTATTGTTATAAAAAAAACATATTGTTAAATTTTTATTCCAGACGTGTTATTTTACAATCAGAACTTGTTATTTCCAAATGTATTGTTGTTATCACTTAGAACAAGAGTAAATGAGTTAACTTATTTTTTTTGTTGCATCATAATGTTAACAAAAATTTGTTGGCTCAATGGTCATTCCTTATTTTGGGAAGCATTAGGTTGGGGGATCAAATCCCCCCAACCTCACTTCCCCCACTATTTAAAAAAAAAAAGTTGCAAAAAAAAAAACAAAGGAAGGCCGCCGGAAGCGGCCGCCGGCGTCGGAGTTCCGGTGAGGCAGTGGCTTTCTTTTAAAAAAAAAAAATTTAAAGAGGGGTATTTTGGTAATTTGGCCATGATTTCATAATTACAATTTGAGACCGGGTCCCTCATGGTAATTTGGCATATTTAGGTGACTATAGAGTAATTTTGCTAATTCGAGGGTCTTTATTTGTGATTTTCCCTTATAAATAAGGAATTATAATTAGATCCGAAAGTAATATTATTGAATTTAGTAATGATGGTTACGTTATGATGATAAATCCAGAGCCGCAGCCACAAACGGCTAGGCGAGGATTCTGTGGTTTGGTAGAAAGATGCGCTTCGATATATTGAGAAGAAGGGAGACCAAGATCAAAGGTATAATGAATTAATGACGACTTTCCCCCCACTCAATAATTTCGTTGTACATTAGCTGCGTACGTAGGTGCGTCGTTCTACCTATACTCCTTCGCCGGCCGACACTGTGCCGTCCTAGGGGCAGATCTGCAACTCGGAGCGCGTGCGGGTAGGAATAGGAATAAGCCAGGCAGGTTTTGTCCTAACAGGCAGACCTGCTTAAGAACACACTTGCTTGAGCTGGACCTGTGACCTGTAATAAGTTTTTTTTTTTCAGTCTGACTGACCTATATAAAGGTCTGGCATGGCTTGAGCCTGTTAAAAAAATCTGTAAATTTTAAAATTTTAAAATACATAATAAAAAAATACATAAGCTAATAAAAAATATAAAATAAATACACTGCATAATAATTATTTGTCTTTTATTTAAATTTTAATGTCATGAGTAATATTTTAAATCTTAATTACAGTTAATATTATTGAAAATAAGTTATAATTATATATTAAAATTTAAAATACGACTAGATATAAGCATACAACAAAAATTAAAAATAAGATACAAGCAGGTCAGGCTAGGCCTGACAGGCTTTCTAAAAGGTCTAGGCCTAGCTTATTAGGCTAAACAGGCCATCAAGGCCTAGCTTATTAGGCTAAACAGGCCATAAAAAAAACCTGAGCCTTTTTCTATTTTGAAAAATACCAGGCTAGGTCAGGCCAAATACAAATCAAGTCACAGGTCCTTGACAAGTCGCTTGGTCTATTTCCATCTCTACGTGCGGGTAAGAATTTATTCTGGAAAAGAATAATAAAATAAATAAACAGATTAAACATGATGACTATGTGTTGGTGTTGGAAACCCAAAAAATAATTATTTAAAAAAAGTTAAAATTACAATATTTTAATTCAGGTACTTAAGAAGTCAAAATTTTATAAGAAAATGTGGTACATCATCTGATATTTTGTAAATATAGTCAAATAACTAAAATGTCTTTATATCATTTTTTTTAAAAAAACAATCTATCAAAATTGTCATTAGCTGTTCAACACTTATTATTTTCTGTTCACAACTTATTAATAAATAACTTGTATTGTTAGTACGTTTCTTATCATTTGTTTCACAACACTAGTCATTGTCAATTTATAACTCACTAATAAACTTTTTCATGCAAGGACCATTTTGTTATTTAACTATATTTGTAAAATACCAGATCATGCATAATTTCTTCTCCTGAAATTTTGATTTCTAAGTACCTGAATTGAAATATTGAAAATTTTAACTTATTTTTATGTTATTTTCTCAATTATTTTTATATTTTACGGGATACAGTTTTTTTTCACACATTTATATTTTAAGTGCAAAATTATTTGAACAAGTTAAATCAAATATTCCTAAGTGCCTGTGAATTCCGCTTAGCTTTTTCTTTCCCCTCTTAAATAGGGTCCAACGTCCAATGTTTTACCGCGCATATTTAAAAATATTATTAATATTTTTTTGTTTTGTCAAATCTTTACGTGTTACGAATTTATTTTAATGATTAAGGTTCTCTTAACATTAAACTTTCAAAAATGGTAAAAGTAAGTTTATAATTAGAAAAATAATGAATATTGTGTATCAAAAAAAAAAATAATGATATCACGTTGAATTTTTATGAAGATACGTGTGTAACAAATTAAAAAAAGGAGACTGTTAATTATTTCTCCAAAAAAAAAAGAAAGAAAGAGAGGAAGCTTTCCTCGTGTACGTTAAGGAAGTTCAACCTTCTTATGGCAATTGGATTGTGATGCTTCTTTGGCTTTTTTAATAATCTAAAAATCAATGCATCACCATAAATGAATATTACAAATATCTCATCATCCACCACCTCTCCTCTCTCCCAACAGATGGTGGTGTTGGATTATAATTTTGATCACGTTTAAAAGAAGCTAATCGCTATGCTAATTAACCTGTCCATCAAAGTCCAGATAGCTACACTGAAGTTATAATTTTATGCACTCTCCAGATGAAAGGTGCAGGAATTTGTTTTTAGCAAATTTGTTTAAGAAGTTGCACGCTATCAATTAACCAGTTTTTTCCACAAATTTTTTTTATTAGTTACCTAAAATCTAATATTAACAAGTTAAATTGGAAATGGAATCAGCAGGGAATCTTGTAATTATCGTCCTGAAAAGAAAAGGATAAATCTTGCAATGATACTTTAAAATCTGGATACACAAATCACTTAAAAATTCTGTTCTTACGTGTGCCTAACTCTGTTTTAATCGATCAAATAAGGAAAATAATTTTATATACAAAGACGGGCCACAATAGTATGCCATCCCATGCAATATATACGAAATATTCGCATGCATATTTAATTATTTATAGTTTGTTGCTCCTTCTTCTTTATTATTCTGACCGTCATCTCATGTCAGAATCATCAATATACCAGTACATACAAATACATAATACTCCTAAAATCCTGTCATCATCTGATAAAATGGGCAGGATATCCAAGGTCTTGGTAGTCCAGTAATACGAAACTCTTGGTAAGTTGAATCCTGTGTCTAACTTTAGATTATTAGTAAATCCCTTTAACTAAAAAAAATAATTAATAGGCATTCGACAAACACAAAAGGATAAAATTAAAAGAAAATGCAGTAGTGATTATCACCGCAGAAGAAAACGGAGGAAAAAGGAGCCCGCAGCCTATATTCCCTGAATTATTTATTTCTATTCGCTGCTTCCTTTTATCCCCGGCGTCGTTTCATATCAAATTTATTCCCATTTCCCCCTTTTCTGGCCCTTTTCGAATATTCCTCTGTCCGTCTCTCTGCCTCAGTTGTCTTCACGTTCATTCTCCGTCCCCAAATATGCGAGAGCAGAGGTACCTGTTTTGTTTTCAGCTCTGATTTTCATCGATTCATCATCAGGTCGAAACCGATTTACCAGAGATGAAATTCGGGAAGGAGTTCAAGACGCATTTGGAGGAAACCATTCCGGAGTGGAGAGACAAGTTCTTGTGCTACAAACCCTTGAAGAAGCTCATTAAGCAGGTTCCGACACCTGGGATTGCGCTTCGCCATGATATCTTTCAACCCCCAATCGACGTCCCGCCCGTTCCTTCCGTGCAATCCGATGCCGATCAGGATCATCCAGAACCTGCTCCTCGGCCCTATTTGGACCTCCAGGCCTGGTTCATCGTAATTCTGAACGAGGAGCTGGAGAAATTCAATGATTTTTATATTGATAAAGAGGAAGACTTGGTCATCCGCTTCCAGGTTCTTTTCCTTCTCTTTTTTGTAGGGCTTGGAATTACTATGGGCATGATAAGTTGGTACTACTGCATCTTCATTAATTTCATGTCCTGGATCATTAAAACTTCTAATTTAGGTACAGCTGACTGAATAACATCTTTGCTCTGTTTTGAAGTTCTAGCTTGTTGCCACCCTACCCTTTCTGGACCACAAGCGAAAGTTTTTACTTTTATATTCACACGAGGTGCACACCGATCGAACTTCACATACCATTTATTTTTCGACCCTTCTTGCGGGAAGTTGGTATTAGCAGATAATATAAATTTAATTGCCCGTAAATCCAAATGAGCAAATCACTGGCCGTCAGCACAACTGGGTACTCGGAGTATGGCATGGAGGCCTTACTTTGTGGTCAAGGTTCTTGATAGTTTATTCTTTTTGTAGTACTGGACTTTAGGACTGTTAGGAATGTCTTTTTCCAATGCCAACAATAAGTACCCTTACATGTCTTGCGAATCAATCATTGCTTTTATGGCTTCTAAGTGGCAGAGACGCTGATCTAAAGACCTCCCCTTAATAACCTGAATGGCTTCTTTATAATTGTTAGTTTGTTACCCCGTCAATTCTTGATGATTGTGGTTAAAAGGTTTGTTGTGTTATCACCAGTTTGTATATATTTCTACTGTTTGTTCCAGATAACTGTCTTTAGATTGTTGTAACTCTTGCATTTAATCTTGACCAAAGGGAACATAGAATCTGGCCATTGCATAAGCTACTTATTCAGAGGAGATTAACTACGTGTAACAACTCAATCAGTTCTAAATCTAGAAATTCGATAACTCTTGCAGCTTAGCCAAACCAAGATTGCATGTCCCTAGCGAGCGAATCTCATGCCACATCAGATATTGTGGTTTGGTTGTCTCACTTTATTGGCATGTCGTGCAACATGACAATTAATTTACAATGGCGGTTAATATGCCTTCAAAGGCATTGAAAACGATCTCACTGGACTGTATAGAGTGAGAGTGTAGATACCTCTCTTTGTGCCCCCTCCAACGTGCCACATTCATATTCTCCTCTTTTTTAACCTTGAAATTGTGATTATTTCTTACAAATATTTAGGTTGAAAAGATGGCAGAAGCCTTTATGGCCAAACTCGTTGGGCTTTAAATTTATATAAATATTTCTTCCTTATATCTCAAATTGAGGAACTTAATCTGTTATAATTTATATCCTACAACATTGATGATATGGGTTTTCTTCCATTATTATTATTCCCACAAGCTAGATGAGCCCCCCTCTTCTAGTTAAGTGATATATAATTTGCAACTCCATAGTTGAATTAGCACAAAAACAAATTGATACATGCTTCTGCTTCTGGGGATTATTTTTGTCATCTGAGAAATCAATTTATAATGGTCAAATGGTTTGTGATAAAGTAAAATGGGAATCATTGACCACTTGCCGGAGAATCTTCATGAAGCTGTCTGTGGGGAATCTTTGACACACTTTTATATTTTGTTAATGTAGCCCTTCTGTGATTTTTATCGACAATTCTGGACAGGTGCTGAAGGAAAGAATTGAGCGTCTTAAAGAAAAAAGCAGCAGGAATGAAATGTACACCTCTGAAAGTGAATTCAGTGAAGAGATGATGGATATCAGGAAGGACTTGGTCACCATTCATGGACAGATGGTGCTACTAAAAAACTACAGCTCCTTAAACTTTGCGGGTAGGGCATCTAGTTTTCTTCTTCTTATTAATAAACCTATGTATTGTTGGTGGGGCTTTTACGGTGAGGTGGCATCTTCTAATGTAATGACTTCACAGATATAGCTAGTGCAGAATTCATGTCTGTGTGTTTGTGTGTGTCTGGTGGAATTGGAGTTAGGGGATTGCTTGTTCTGAAACCATTAATATATTTCTGCTTCAACAGGGCTAATTAAAATTCTGAAGAAGTATGATAAGAGAACTGGTAGATTGTTGCGTCTGCCTTTTACTCAATTTGTTCTCCGTCAACCCTTTTTCACAACAGAGCCTCTGACTCGGCTTGTACATGAATGTGAGGAAAATCTTGAACTGCTGTTCCCCCTTCAAGAAGAAGTAATTCAATCAGCTCGGCCTACTGGAGATCAACCTAAATCACCTGTAGATAGTGCAGCAAACACTTCACCTGAGGCATCCTCAACTCTCGGTGAGGAAACTGCGTATCTATATCGCAGCACTCTTGCTGCAATGAAAGCCATAAGAGGCCTTCAAAAAGCTAGTTCCACCTGCAATCCATTTTCCTTTTCAACCCTCTTTAGTAACCAAGATGCTGATAGTACTGGTGCTGTCACAGTTGAAAATTCTCCAGCAGATTCTCGAGCTTCCTTGTGGGATGGGGAAGACACTGATGAAGAGGAAACCTATTCTGTGTAGCACAACTTCTCTTTTAGAGTGGCTTGCCTTCTTGTTTGGATCTAAGCAAAATCTATTGATTGATATACAATAAGTAGCGTGTAATGCGAGCATTTGACTCTGAAAAATGATACTTGCTCGCTGCCTTTTTTTTATCCACTTTTACACCTTTGTGTGTCTTTGCTGAGCGGTTACCCTGTGTTGATAACTTTGTATTGATGGTGGAAACTTAAATGTAAACTCTGATGGTAACCTTTGTAGGAGTTATTGACTTAAAAGCTTTTGTACTTTCTGGTGTAGCATGTGTTGCTACCTATCATAAGGTAGCGTGAAGAATTTGTTAACAACAAATAACATTAACCTTCATCAATTTAAATTAGAAATACCTCAATGCTTTTCACCCAAAAAAAAGAAAAACCTCAATACAGCACGGAATCAAACTATTGTAATGGATTATGTCTGAGATTGGGGTTTCCCCAGTTCTCAGATCATCCTTAAGCAGTTTTGTCACTATTCTGGGGGACAAAAAGCCACTAGTTGCTGCATATTCCAGACTTAACATTGGCATATATCCATTTGGTAGCAAAGGAATCCTTGCTATTTTCCTTCTGATTTCCTGATCGCTGTATTTTCATGGCTGCCTCTTTCTCTTTACCGTATATGTTTACAATTTATATGGCAGTGTGCTGTTGGTCACCTTCATAGTTAAATGGAAGGGGCACTGACTTGAATGCCCGATACTTCCCTACATTGTTTAAGTGCTCGTTCTCCAACCTGTTTACATATAACTGACGTGTATTAAATACAAATACCAAGTGGTGTTTTTCAATTGTTTTTTCAACCAGAACCACGAGGTGATAAGGATTCGCTTGATTCCCCCCCCCCCCCACAAAAAAAAAGAAAGAAAAGAAGAAGAAGACATGATTAGTTTCTTTTGGTTTATTCGCTAAGTAACACGTAAATAACAAGTGGGGATAAAAACCAGATAGTCCCGCTGTTAATTTATGCAGTTAAAGACAGGTGAAAGATATTGCTATCTGATTGCTATGTGATTTCTACTCTATTTATTTCCCATGAGAATACGAGACCTTTCCATTCTGACAATTACCACCGGCCATAATCATGTTGCTGAATGATAAGTTTATTCACTAGTTACGAAGCAATACCTGAAGAAATTCCAAATGCCACGGCGAATGATCTCCAAGCAAGCCACCAGAGCAGTCAAGGCTTTTCTATGCAGGAAAGGGGCGTGTGTAACCCCTAAAACTGATTGCATCCAAGCAAGTCGCAGCAAAACATTCAACACCTGGTGGGTGTTTTGTTCATAAACAATTAAACACCAAGCAAGTTAATTAGCTTGCAAACAACCCAGATAATGAAGAAGGCGGATCCCTAAAGTAACTTACCATAGCGGCGAAGTATACACTTTTGTTAGAAACCGAGAGTTTATTTCTCAACCACGGGTTTCTTGAATCTCGTCGCAGCAAACCCCAATCTATTACAATGTCCCAGTATGTGTTCATAATCGTAGCAACGCCTGAAGAAGCTGCAGCCAAAATTTTCCACGTCGCTACTTCGTTCAATGTCAACTCATTACCAGTCCTTGTGGCTATGGCAAATATTGTTGACATGTACTTAAGCCCGTTAAGCCCGTGCATTGCATTTCTCTCCTCAACCACATCGTCGAAGGCACTATAACGACATGGTTCTTGTTAGGGTTACCAAAATCACCCAGCCCGTGTTTAAAGTGCAGGGTAGCTAAGAGGATACAAGTTGAACTCAGATTTGCCTGTCTGTCATTTGCAGACCTGGAGGAAACGGATCCAGAATGGAATAATAGCTACAATGAAGTAAAATGTTTCATATACTTTATTTTCGAGGCACTTGTTTTTTCTCGTCCTGAAGTTTCCAGACACATAGTAACAAACATAAAATTCCAAACTTCTGAAGGCCTGCACCTGAACTCAGAAAGAGAGAATAGTTGGCTCAATATGAATGAAGGAAAGTAGGAAAACTTATTAGTGGTTTCTCATTTCTGCATGTTCTATTACAGTGACTCAGTGAGTGTGAGATGTAAGCATAAGCAGCAGTATGTGTGAAATATTGAACCTGGCTGGTAAGCTGGTCTGCCAACATATTATCTGCGAGGGTAACCTACAAACAATGAAGAAATCATGGGATATCTTATCATTTCTGAAGATTTTAACATAAGCAGAGTATGTATCTTTTTATACTTCGAATTATTTCTTCTCCTTTACCTTGTAAAGCGGAGCGCAGATGCAATGAAACATACAATGGATAACAAAGAAGCGGCTGGATTTATATATGATGTTGAAGGGGCAAAATGTGATGATAATCAAAACCTGTGATGGAAATTCAATAGAATAAGTTGACAGCAGTAAAATAAATGGCACAGTATATAGAATTGATCGCTTGTGTTTGGGTAAACTTTAACTCTTGTTGCTTTGGCATAGACCGCAAACGATCAATTGTATAGCCAATGACAAAATAACAAGATTGGGAATAAGATGTCTTCCAGAAACTTACAAGAAGAAGACCTAGAGGAACTAATTCTGTAAATACTGCGAAACTTTGTGTTCTTGTGTCCATCCCCACATCCAGGTTTGTGAGTACTGCAGCCCATGTGAGCACTGCAAGGCCCGAACTAAGAAGAAGAACTTCTCTGTAACTCAACTCTGTCCCTTGTTTGAAGCCAAATATGAACGAGTAGTTGATTTTGAAACGACGCCAGAAGTATATATTTGCAGAGTACATGAGCATATGCAAGATTATGAATCCAAATAAACTGCAGATACATGAAGTTCTCAGTAATATTTTTTGAGATTGCAGAAAACATGTATGGTCAAGGCAAAGGCACAATGGTGTGAAATCACGCAATAAATTTCACAAAAAATACATCCAACTTACCTGTAAAGAGGGAATATGTTTTCCATATAATCATTTTGCCCCTCTATATTTAAATTGCTTAAAATGTCTCTCGCTTGAATAATTATGATTAGGGCCACCATGAGAGCAATTGAACAACCAGTAAGTAGCCCTGATAAATAAAAAAGTAAGGATGCTACCGTGAGAAAGTAAACTGAAGATTCACCATTTTTTTATGAAGAAACAACTAGGGGAAACTCAAATAGTACTTTTATGACCATGTCAAGTTGTCTGACAGATTGACAGACAGGGAAGTGTAGGATCCGAAGTACCAGGACATTGAAGTTATGGCGAGCATAATGAAGGAAGGCTTATATTCATCATATGATTCAGAAAAAAGAAATTGTAATTTCCGTTTTCACCAATATTATGACACTATAGAATAACAATTAAATAAATAATCAGTTATTTGGAGCTCAGATATTACCCAAGAAAAATATAATTCTGTGTCGCTCTCTTTTAGCCGTAGGTCTCAATATTTTCATTCCTTTTCTGTGATTCCCATTTGAAAAATGCTTTATGAAGGCAGCTTCCACCCTTTCCATGAGCCTATTAACCTGTACACGACATGATGAGGCAGGCACCATTTCATTTAAGTCTTGGGGTACAACTTGAATAACCAATAGAAGATAAGTGCGGGATTTATATAGAACCTCCTCAGAGCTGCCAACAAAAGAATTGTCTACCATTTTTAAGTACTCCGTTGATGCATTCCTTGAACAGATCTGCAGTATTACAAGTCAATGTACAGGGAAGCCAAAACACTGCAGTCGAAGACTGTCTTTCATATAAAATAGGAGGATAAGGATACCTTGTCATACTTCTTCATGATCTTTGAAAATGCCAACAGGTTCAAGAAGCTGCGTGGAAATAGAGTGCGTCTTCAGTAACTTGTAAAAAAAAAAAAAAAAACCATTTGAAAAGGGTAGGAGGAAACCATATCACCTATAGAATTTTAGAAGCCGAAGCTTATTATAAAACTCCTTGAAGGCCTTGCTTAGCTGTTCCTCTGCCTTCCTTAGCTCTTGTTTGCTGAATGACAATTCAGTTGTCGAACAGGGGAGGAGCCCTTTTACTGTTGATACTGGAGTTTCAGGTTCAACAAGGTTGATTTTGACATGATCCAGGATCCTCAATGAAGGTGGTATAAAGCCCTGAATCCTTAACTTAGAAGTAGCTTGTTCTGCATGATTTCCGCTTTCATCTTCTGCTTGCCTTTCACTGCTCATCTCAATTTCTTGAATCACATTCAAGTGGGGATGGAACTTACCTTCAAAATGTTCATATGCTCAATTGGATTTCAAATTAAAATCTTTCTCAAAAGAAAACCGATTCTAATGACGCGTGAGTGACCTCATTACGATATTATTCAGCTACTGTACTTGAGAAAGAAATACGAAAATAACAAATCTAATCTTACTAGGACTTTCATCATTCACGTGATGTTCCATGGTACTCGAAGTTGAGGGACCACTACTGTCAAGATTTCTGAAACCTCCCACTTCATCCACCTTCACCCTAAGAGCAATAAGGGCATTCATTTGGTTATTAAACTCCTCTGCCTCTTCCATGACTTGCTTCACCTTCATACTGTAGAAGTTATGGACCCTGTTGAACTCAGCATCTAGCTTCCCGAAAAACAAAGCCTCTAGTTCTCCAATTCCTCAGCAGACTTGAGGAACATTGTCTGATACAACCTTTCTGACCCTTCTTTCTCCTCTTCACGAACAAGCATAACCTCATCGTCATTGCTATTCGTCGTCAAACCTCTTTGTCGACCTGTAAGCCCACTAAAGGCTCTGTACAGAGTTAACTTTCTCTTCAGAGACCCCTTTGGGGTGGATGCCATTGCCGCCGATGGTGCATTTCGCTTCCTGATCCGTAATATGTCCTTGAGAATTCCTTTGAGATAGCTGTAATTCATGTATGCTTCGTGCCATTCTGGCACCATTTGTGAAGCAAATTCTTTCCCAAACTTCATCTCTTCTGCAAAAATTTGTGCACATAGACTTCAATAGCTCATTTGTGAGCCACAATGAGGATAGAAATTGAAAGATTCAATTCACCGGGTTTCGTCTATTTAGTTTAAGAATCACAACAAAAGTGATCCTTTCACCCTCAAGAGATTTTTCCTCACTAGAGTCAGTCTTCTGCTGTAAATCTTTGTGTTAATGTGGTGACCAGAACCAGGATGGCCTTCGAAAACTTTGTTAATTTCTGAAATAAATGAAGCAAGAAACAAAGTTGGCTAATTTTCTGTGTCTATGGGAAATTCTTATTAGGAATGGAGGGACCACCTGCGCGCTGGGCCCCGTCTGCAAATTGCAGTGGAACCTGCTAGTTGATAGTTTTTTTGTTTTTGGGGGGGGACTGAGGCTTGCTAGCTGGTAGTTAAAAGTCGGAGCCATGTTCATTGATAATGCAATAAATTGTGTTCTGGTTGTGAATTACATTGGCATTAATTGGGATCTTACCTGCTTTTCCGAGATGGTTCGTACAATGCCCATTCACCTAAATCTCTTGCAATGACGAACGATTATGATATAGTGGTACTTTCATATATTAGCCATACGGATTCGTAGATATTTTCTTTTCCTTCGTTTGGTTTCATCAGTTTGAACTGTCCTGATCAGTTTGTTTCAAGCACCATCTCATTCTTTTCTTTTCACGCGTTGAAGAGGTATATGTAAATCCACCATGATTCTATCACTCCAGATTCAAGCAGTGTGTGCAGCTTTCAATTTTTACTTTTTTTGGGTCACGCAGCTTCAAAACTCAAATGAACAAAATCATTGGATGATTTAGAAATAAATTATAGGACGAATTATGTATTATAGGTAAAAAGGGATGCAACCCTCCCTTTAGATCAGGTGATAGAAATTATGTGGAATTTCATGCAAATTCCTGGCGGAGAAGACCAGAAGTGTAGAACCATGACTTAGAAACATGAAAAGTCGAAGGACGAAGGACGAAATCCACTCCATAATTTTAGGGCATCAATCCCAGATTTGTGGATTGTTGCTCCTTTCTCTCTCCCTCTCTCAGAAATTGCAAGGGTGGTGAGAGTTTTCTTCCCTCGCCAAGCGGACGAGCTTTCTTTCACGGTATCTCCTCCCCGGCTCTGACTGTGGGAGGAGATGACCGTTTTCTGTGTTATCCTTAGTTTCTTTGTATGTCTTTTTAGGCTTTTATCGGTGGTGTGTCTGGTTTTAGCGGCTATTTTAAGATCTGAGGGCTTCATTGACGGCAGACCTCTCATGGCGACTTCGTTTTGTATTTTTGGGGGCTGGGATTTGATGACTACGGTCCTACACATTGATGGCTTCATCTTTCAGAGGATCATTGTGGTTTGTTCGTGGATGCGAATTCGAAGGGCACGTCTTTGTTCCGTCAATTTTGTTCGCTCAGCAACTGTCGGCGAGAACACCTTCTCATTTTCTATTTTTCTGGTGGCTGTGGGTGCTTTTACTCCTATGATGTTTTCTCATGGAGGTTGTTCAACCAGTTGGGTTGGTTTTGCCAAAAGGGAGGGATGGCGAACCACCCCTTTAATGGTGGTGAAATTATGTAATTTTGCTTCTAGAATGGTCGATGGTGACTGAAGTTAGTAACATGGTGGACGGGCCCTCTCTTCTTTGTTAGGGTTAGGTTTTGTCTAGGGCTTGTTTGGTTTCCCTGTTTTTTGGGCTGTCTTATTGGGTGGGTTTTGTATTTATCTTTGTTGTTCTTTAATGAAGTTACCTTTTATCTGGTAAAAAAAAAACAATCCCAGATTTGTCTTTTAGTCACCATAGATCCAAATTTGAATAAATCCCATGATCAATTTAATTTCCCCCGTCCTCGACGCTGCTCCAGAATTAAAGCTTTTAATCTAAATTTTTCAAAGTAGTTTTTTCTTCCTATTGAAGCGACATTTCATCAAATAGATATTATCACGTTTACATCATCGATACTGATTGGATATTTGAGATGAGCATGGGAATAAAAATAATTCTAATACTGTATCTTATATTATTTCCGGTTCTAAATATAAAAACTAGTTGACTAATTTAAGTAAATTAAAAAAATAAATTAAGTTAATTATTTATAATAAATAGGTGTTTTTTTTTCTAAAATATCTTTGTTAATCAAATTTGTTGGCTAGAACTATCATTATTAAAATGACTATCTTGAAAAAAATGGATAAATATAAGAAATAAAGTGAATTGAGATTTTATATGTAGGACCAAAATAAAAGTCAAACGAGGTCTTAGATTAAGAACAGGAGATAGTACTTAATATAAAAATTAGTTTGACTTTTAATTTGATCCTAAATATAAGATTTTAATTTACTTTATCTTTTATATTTATTTATATTTTTCAAAGTAATCCTTATACTCTTGTAATAATTGCACATATTAAAGGATTCTATCTAATGGTAGTTATAGTTATTATACATAATTAGTAAGGATATTCTAGAGAATACAACACTTATTTATTACAAATAACCAACTTAACAAATTTTCTTAATCTACTCAAATTAGTTAACTAATTTTTATATTAAGGATTAGAGGTAGTACTATTCTATCCTAAATATGAGATTCATTTTGTAGTATAAATTACATTCCAAAATAAATTTTATATTTAAAATCGGAGCAGTATTTATACCTTTTTTTTTTTTTGGTCAAAGGAATAGTATTTAGCTTAACTGAGGAAAGATAATTGTACAAACGATTGCATTGTTTTTCCTTTTTAATCTCAACGAGCATTTTTCACCGGCGGATCTCACCCCCGATTGACATGGCAAATTCTGATTGGTTCCAGAGACAGATCACTCTGAAACCGGTATCAGATTAACAAAACTGAGCCCTGTCGTTCTTCTTCCCATTCCTCCGCTTCGCGTTCGCTGTTGCTCTTGTCCGGTGCCGTTTTGATGTCCATCGTGACATCGTCCCTCACCGCATCGCTCTGCAAAACCTAAGAACTCCTCCTCTCAGATCTCAATTTGTACGAATAGACAATTCATTAACGAAATGTTGGGGGTAAATCTCCTTATTGTTCTCACCCTGGCATTTATGTGTTGCTTCGGTCATGCGATGAGATTTGAGCTCCGTTCGGGTCATACCAAATGCATTGCGGAAGACATCAAGAACAATGCAATGACCGTTGGCAAGTACTTTGTCGTTAACCCAAGCGAGGGGTCTCTTCTTCCTGATTCCCACAAGATCACTGTCAGGGTAAGCCAAATTCGTCTGGATGTGTATGCATTAATTCCTTTTATGTTCTTGTTCGGCCCTCTCTTCCGGTTATGAATCGGTCATTGGGCTGATTAAACTGGGATATGCTTTTAGGAAAGGCAAGAAGTTTATTGGAAACAATATGGAAACAAAATCAGTTCATTCTCAAATGGTTCAGCGTTTTACTTCTTGACAGGTTTCTTGTATTATTCATTATTAATTTTTCATGGTTGATTTAGCTATAATATGGTTGCCAGGTGAATTCACCTCACGGGAACAGTTACCACTATGGGAATCAAGTGGATTCAGGTAATTTTGCATTTACTGCTGCTGAGTCTGGTGACTACACTGCTTGCTTCTGGGCACCTGATCACAAGCCCCCAGTAACTGTGACCATTGAACTTGATTGGAGAACTGGCGTTGCTGCCAAGGACTGGACAAAGGTTGCTAAAAAAGGACAAATTGAAGTAAGCAGCATCCCTGGGTTCGCATTTATATGAGTATAACTCGTATCATTTTAGCGTTTTGAGCTATCACAAATTCATGAAGTAGTTATCTGAATTACTGAATCCTCGGTGTTGCAATGCTCGTGTTTTGAACTAGTGGGGTAGGCCGTGTGTGTGTGTGTATAATTTCCTTCAAAGTGTTAGCTCTTTAGGAATCTGAATGTTAGTTTCGCTTGCATGCTAGAGAAATTATGGAATCGACAAAATGGAGCCAAAATTTAATATCACGCAATTAAAAATGTTCCACACACACACTACATGTATTTTTGGTGTTTGCATCCAGAAGATGTCGAACTCCATGATAATGAATTTTTCTTTGTTCATTCCAATCTGTCCTTGCAAGTCTGTGTTATGCCTACAATTGGTAGTGAATCCTAGGTTGTTGGCTGATTCTAAGATATAAAAAGAGTGATAGTGTGTGTGTATATATATGTATATATATTCTCAAACTCATGTAAGTTATAGGATATTGTTCATTGAAAATCTATTTATTTTGATACTTAGTGGTTGCTAACGCAAGTTTTCTTCTCATCTGCTAGGCAATGGAATTTGAGTTAAGGAAGTTGTATGAAACAGTTACGTCCATCCACGATGAGATGTTTTATCTTCGTGAAAGGTATAATAGTCATAAACCCTCCCTGGTTGGTTATGTCCTGATAGGTGTCTTTGGTGATCTTTTGATAGAAAAAGTAATCGCTAGTTTCCATTCAAGGTGGAAATATGTGGAATATATTGTTAATCGGTCGGAACAAGAATAAAATCTCCTGTTGATAGAACTCCGTCTGTATGTGGAGATTATCCTATTAGTTCATGCATGATTGCATCAATTATTGCTATTCTCTGTCTGGTTTTGTTAAACGCGATTCTCTATCAAATCAATTTAAAGAGTGGCCTAAACTCACCATGTAAAACTATTATTTGAGGATTCATATGTTTCTCTTCTTGAAAGAGAGGTAGGGATGATCTTTTACTAGATGGCCTTGGTGTGAAATCTGAATACTTGCAGCAAACTGACTAGCAGGAATGTATCTAATGCGAATCATCTTTTTTTCTTTTCTCCCCAAGACGAAACAAAATGTGACCCTGCAGCTTACTTCTATAATCATTTATTAGTTTAGAGTGCATTTGAAATTTGCTGTTGGTTATCGTACCAACATTCTTCACTCTTGTGTACCAAGTTCTTGGATTAATTCCATTCCTTGAATGTTAAACTTCGAAAGTCATTATAACCATCAAGTCGAGGAGGGAAATAAGGTACTCTTTTGTATGCGGCTGACGACAGGCTTCAAATTTTATTTGAGTTTTTGAAGGTAAAATGTTTGTGTCCAAATGATAATCTATCCTATGTGGGTATGAGTTTTATTTTATGGTGAAGCAGAGGGGCTAAGGCTCAACAGAAGAAACAAGCAAAACAGAAGGGAAGCTAAATCGACACCACTTTTCTGTTTTTCCTTTGGTGTATAAGATTTTTATTGATGGTTGAAAAAGCTTAATGACGCTATATAACTGATTCATTTTATGGGATAAGGCTTCTTATTATTGTTGTATTAGATTTTTATTCATTCTCATGGCAGATGTATCACTTGATTTAGTAACACCACATCCATTTGAATGATACAGGGAGGAAGAGATGCAAGACCTCAACAAAGCAACTAACGCCAAGATGTTTACCTTCAGTTTCCTTTCGATTCTGGTTTGCTTGTCTGTGGCTGGCATGCAATTATGGCATTTGAAGTCGTTCTTTGAGAGGAAGAAGCTCCTATGAGTTCCTCCGCACGGTTTTTGTTCTCGAAGTTTCATCGGTTTTGATTCTCAGTTAAGTGGTTGTCCAGATGTATGTATCCACCGGATGTATGATATAGTTTCATAATCATATGATTTTGTGATCTGATCATTAGAATTCTATGCCTGTTATTTTAATTACAGTAGTGTCATACAAAACTAAAACTGTAGATGTAATAACTTTTCCCAGTCTCGTTATTTGATACGAATTTCGATTCGGTCTGTGTACCGGTTTCATGATTTTTCTGATTCCCGTAATGGATAAAAGTGCATCATAATCTTTTGCCCCAACTGAAACATATTACGCAATTAACAAAAAGTAGACGGTTATAGACAGGGTTGCTAAAGAGATGAGTTTTTTTTTTTTTTGGTCCAAAAAGAGATGAGTTTACTTGTGGTCAAAATAGAATATCTCTTCACAAATCCTCTAAAGATTAAGCTAAAACGTTTTTTTAATTTATAATTAAAATATGACATTCTTTCTTGTATACTGTATCGGAAGATAAATAGAGAAAGAAATAAACAATTACACAAATCCAAATCTGGAGATCATTAAATATTTAAATATATTTCCTCAAAACCAGTTGGCGTCTTGGACGCGCGCGAAACAGTCTCACCAACAAGAAAGAAGGAAGAGCACGGGTTCCTTCACAAGGAAGCGCTTCTTCAGTACTATGTTTGAAACTTTGAATTAACAATTCATGGTTCGCTTGCCGCCACCACAGCAATGGCAAGCTACCACCAATGTTGCAGCAACTCTAGCGGGCTTGGCGGAGTCCTGTGCTTCCATGGCAGACCTCAAACGTATCCATGCCTACGCTCTCCGTGCACATCTCCATCAACACGCCATCGTCCTCGGCAAGATGTTTCGCTTTGCTGCTGTATCACCCGGGGGCGATTTATTTTATGCTCATCGCCTCTTCTCTCAGATCCACCAACCAACCGCTTTCTTCTACAACATTCTCATACGGGGCTACTCCAAGAGCTCATCGCCTTCACATTCCATTCGATTATTCAACCAAATGAGACAAAACTGCGTAGCTCCTGATGAATACACCTTTAATTTCCTACTCAAGTCGCGGTCAAGAATGAAATTAACTGACCCGCCTTTAGTTTTGGCTGCCGACGAGATACACGGTGCTGTGTTGAAGTTTGGGTTTTCTTCCCACTTGTTCGTTGATAACGCGCTGATTCATTTGTACGCTGTAAGGGGAATGCCGCTCTTAGCGCGTCGTGTCTTCGAGGAAACTGTGGGCGTCGATGTTGTTTCGTGGGCAGGATTGCTCGTTGCTTACGTGAGAGCTGGCGAGTTGGACGTGGCACAACGGGTGTTTGATGAAATGCCCGAGAGGGATGTAGTTTCGTGGACCGTTATGATATCTGGATATTCCCAAGCAAAGCGTTCAAGAGAAGCATTGGATTTATTTTGGAAAATGACACACGCAGGAGTGGGGCCTGATGAGGTTACTATGGTGAGTGTGATATCTGCCTGCACAAATTTGGGTGATGTAGAAACGGGACGAATGATTCACCAATACATATATGAGAATGGGTTTGGTTGGATGGTCTCGCTCTGCAACGCACTAATATATATGTATGCAAAATGCGGATGTATGGAGCAAGCTTGGCTAGTGTTCAACAATATGAATCGGAAGAGCTTAATTACGTGGAACACAATGGTAACAGCAAGCGCAAACCATGGAAATGCTGAAGATGCTTTAAAGTTATTTGAATGGATGAGAATTTCTGGTGTCATGCCGGACAGTGTCACATTTCTGGCCCTTCTGGTTGCATACACCCATAAGGGGTTAGTTGATGAAGGTATAAGAATATTTGAGAGCATGCAAAGGGACTATAGAATTGAAGCCAGAATTGAGCACTATGGATGCGTGGTAGATATGTTGGGGCGTGCAGGGAGGCTAGAAGAGGCATATAATTTACTCACAAGCATGCCAATTCCAAGCAACGACGTCATATGGGGTGCACTACTTGGTGCCTGCAGGATCTATGGTGATGTAGATATGGGGGAGAAGGTTATAAAGAAGTTGTTGGAACTGAAACCAGATGAAGGAGGATACTACATTCTGCTCAGAGATATATACAATGCTGCAGGTCGGACTGTGGAAGCCCATGGAATGAGGGAAGCCATGTTCGCAAGTGGAGCTAGAAAAACTCCTGGCTGTAGTTGGGTGGAAGCCACAAGTCTACAAGCGCCTTCCCCGGTTAGTTGTTTTTAGCATAACGGCACTTGTTTTGCTCGGTCAAGCTCCCTCTCATTGGTATTTCCTTCATGAATCTAAGAAAGCCTTCATTTTCACTTAGTCGAAGGAAAACTTATGAGATTAAGTTTCTCGTACGTAGCAGACTAGCAGTTCAAATTTATTATGTGAAATGCCGAATTATAGAGATCAGATTATTACATCTACTCATATTCAATGCTCACAATCTGCTGAAGTGGCAATGCATACAAAACACACCCACACAACCAGAGTTGAAGTTGTAAATACGCCCCATCATTCAAATAAAATATAAAATCCATAACACGTACTATTTTTTTTTCTTTCCAAATTGTAAAAGTATAATTCATTTTTAAGATTCCACATCCCATATGCATAGAAACCTACCTAATTTCAAAGCATGGAGAATCAACTACAGCCATGTTTGGTATCAGGAATAGCAGAGAAAAAAGACCAGAAAATATAAGCTTAATGAATTGTTATACTCGAGGGAGAACCCTAGAACCCTTTAACTAAGAGGAAGTATAAACGACATCAAACATCTGCTTTGAGGCTTTATGAAATCATAAATTCAATAGTCAAACTCTTGAAGAATAATGAGCGAGAAAAAGTCTCGGTTATTTCTTAGACAGTCGGTGAGAGCAATTTGCCAATGTGTGCATTGGATGTCAATTTTCCCCTCGTGGAAATTTAAACGACTTTTTTAGGCATTTTGATCGTTGCAAAGTACTCTATACATTTATTATTCTTATTCCATCAATTTTTTATGTCATTTCAAAAATAAATTGAGTCTCTATCCTATTCTCAATTTTTTCCTTTAAAAATGTTTTTTTTTCAAGAAATATTTTCATTTTATCAACTCTAAAAATCAACCCATATAATTAGGATTTATTTAGAACTTCAAAGACAAACAACGCCAACACTTCAGTGTATGCTGATAGTTTGTTTTCATTCAAGAGCAGACTTCACAGACCACAATAGCAGCAACACACATAAAGGCAAACAAGCCCAAACCGTTCACTTAGAAATGCACACAGGACAAGGCAACACCACAAGACTCCATATTGACAGTCTGACCCATAGCAAGGCAAACATGGCCCAGCTGTTTATTTAGTAGGTAATTCTGGAATGATTTTCATACTCAAGCCAAATCTTCAATCTCCTGCATTTTGATCACTCATCATCGTAACTCTTGTGGTGATGATGCTTGTGGCGATGGTGCTTCCTCTCACCATCATCATCATCGCCGCTATCATCTCCCTGCCAAGAAAGGAAAAGATTTAAAACCAATGTTAAACTGGATTGCCTCATATAGCCTACATCAATTCGTAAAGACAAATTAAAGGGAAGCGGGGATGCATTTCATACAAACTCTGTATACTGTGCCGCAATAACTTCCAACCCAAACTATGTCTCTGTACTACCAGCACCCACAAAGGAGTCCAGAGAGGGAAATTTCTTGTTCGACATCAATTAGATAAATAGACCGGCTTATGTAGGAAAATCACAGTTCCTACATACTCCGAAGAATCTATACTTGAATGCATATATGCCATAGTACTGCCCGTTAAATCTTCCTACATGCAGACATTCTCTTGATAATAACTGGTTCTTTAAAAAGTACGTGGGCGTTGGGATTAGGGTATTGAGTTTAGGATGTGAGGAAATGCTATGCTAGTTCATAACTTATGCAAGAGAACATCAAGACAAGGCAACCATCAATATATTGTTCATCCGAAAGCATTGATGAAATGACAATTATTGCCATAGAGGTGGGGAAAATGTTCGCTCAAAAAACAGCGCAAAGAGCAAGGAATATGATCGTGTCACACATAGTCCCACACCGGTGGAGATGATACATTACTAGATTAGACCCAAAAGAACCAAGGAACAATCCAGACTCAAGTCACAGGAAAGCAAACAAAACAACTAGCTAGGCATCCTACATGTTCTATAATCATATATTACATCTATTCTTGAATCTACTTGTGCCAAAATAAAAATAACAAAAAGATATTTTTTTGTTCCCCCTGACTTCTACACTCGATATTTCATGTCTTAGTTTAAAGAAGAAAAAAGAAAAAAGGATGATCAACTACACCAACCAGCAAACACATATCACTCAGCCTTAAGTCATATTGCTATCTTCATTTTCGACTTATGTTGAAATTCGGACCCCAGGCACAGAATCAAAACCAAAAACATAGTAAAATACGTCACGAGTGTCTGATAATTTATGTATCATGGATGTTAGGCCTAATGGCTTAGCAACAGATGCAGAGCCTGAAAAGTTAGCAGCAGTAGAGTTTGAACCGCTGAGATAAAAGCCAATCAATTTCTGGCTAGCGAATGCCAAGTAAGCTATCTGCTCATAAGCTTAGAGCCTATAAATTTGCTACCAGCATGATACGAGTTATCAAGCATGAGGAGTAAAAGTGCCAAACAATTTGATAATCCAAAGTTGCTTTTGCCAAGGGTCTTAAATTGGCAGAGACTAAGACCCCAAGTAGCAAAGAATGTTTTTAGTCTTACAAACTTGTTAACAAAGCTAGTTTGAACAGCTTCATAACATTACGGAATACGATCCCAAGGACCTAAACAACGGGTTCAAACTTACACTGAGCCACATCAACGACTTAACAGAACCAGAAATCACAAGGTCGCTAATTAGTAGTAAGTTTAATTAAGCAATGGAGTACTTACATATTTCTTACGTCCATAGCCCTCTTCGCTGTAGCCATACTTACGAGGCTTATCATCATCATCACGCCTCTCATAACTAGGTCCTCTGTACTCCTCCTCTGAGCGCCCATAGCCATGTTCTCCCCCTTCCTGGCTCTCATAAGTTGGCCTTCCATAACTTGGTCTCCTTGGCGGCTCGTCCTCATACGCAGGCCTCTCAGTTCTTCCCCCGTAACCATATCCTCCGCCCTCTTCCTCCCCGGAGCTGGGCTTGCGACCATAACCGGATCCATATTCAGATTCGCCTGTCTCATGCTCAGTTCTTCGTACATAAGCGGATCCATATTCTGAGGTGGGTGCCTCATATTCCGGCTTCCGACCGTACCCAGCTCCGTATTCCGAACTCGGCGCCTCGTATTCCGGCTTCCGACCGTACCCAGCTCCGTATTCCGAACTCGGCGCCTCGTATTCCGAGGGAGGTGCCTCGTACTCCGGCCTCCGACCATACCCAGATCCGTACTCTGAGGGGGCTGCTTCCGGCTTCCGGCCATGTCCAGATCCATATTCCTGAGGGGGAGCCTCATACTCCGGCCTCCGACCATATCCAGATCCATATTCCGAGGGAGGTGCCTCATACTCCGGCTTCCGCCCATAGCCTGATCCATAATCTGAACTAGGTTGATCGTATTCATTCTTCCGACCGTACCCAGATCCGTACGCTGATCCACCGTAGTCTGGCCTATTCACATCAGAATCCAAGCCATAAGCAGGCTCAGGCCTCCCCCCGTATTGGCCTCCAGGTTCTGCGCCGGGATTGAACGCTGGTGCAGGCCTGGGCTTGGGACGATCATAGCTGCTGTACTCAGTATTCAAGGCCTCTTCATTATAAGCAGATGGTTCAGCATATGAGGTATACTGGGGACGATCATAGTCGAATTCATCAGAGGTCGAAGATGTGATCGGGTAGCAAGTCTCATCAGACGGAGGAATGGGGCGACCATAGGTGAGAGTAATGTCGTATCCCCCACCGTATGGCGTTGGATCATACTCATCGAAATCGTCGACGTCGTCATCACCCCTGGAATAGTACGGCATTGTGAGAAGCTGACTGCTTTCACTCCTAAAGCTGAATCTCTGATCTCAGTGTAGCCATTGCCCGAATGATCCGCAGTGACTTTATAGCAGCCTGGGAAAAGGTAGACGACACTTCATCTAGGCGAGTAGACGAGAACACGTGGATTCTATGTTCTCCCCGTTTCCCGCGGGAACACTTAAACGACGGAGTCGTTTACATGGGGAACCCGTTTGCTTTCTCTGTGGACCCGATATTATATCCAACTGGCTAAGGTCGACCCCATGCAGCATTATTATGGTATGGGCCCTACATTATTGGATTCATGAGGCGGTCCAATCTTTTATTGCCAAGATTAGACTTATTGCCAAGATTAGACTTGTATCCCCCAAAAAAAAAACCTGTAGGGAAAAAATACATAAGAATTAAAATAATTTAAAATTGAAAGAGAAAAAAAAATAAAAATACTTTACAATTGAAAGATAGCATATTTGGTGCGCAAAATTCAAAAGATGAAACTAAGACAAATGATGGAAGATAGTGATATAACTAGATTTGAGGAAATAACAAAGTCAATTAAAAATTTTCAACACTTTTATTTTTAAAAACTTGAACTAATTCAAATTTTTTTACATATTAAATAAATATTATTTTTATGATTTACAAAAGCAAAATATCTTGAAAAATAGTATTTAGATAGCATGGAATAGAATTGTATAAAGTAGTTTTTTTTTTTTTTCACCATGAATTGTATAAGTGGTTAAACTACTGAAAACGTGACATGCTTAAATTTATAATCTCATGATATATTCTTCACTTTTTTTTTAGTTGCTGGTGTTACTTTTACATCCTAGTTTTTGAACTTTCCTCTTCCTGTGGGTCCCACATTCATTTTTATTTATTATAAAATAAGGAAAAATTAAAAGTTAAAAAAATAAAAAATGTCGGGCACTTAAAAGTTAAAACGGACCAGATTTACAATATAGAGAAGATTTTGGCGTTTTCCAGATATTTGGCATGTCCAAAATCGAACTGGAAGCGGCCAAGTGGAGCAGATTCGGAAATGGCTGTGCGGTCGCATATTAACATTGCCCTTCTGCGCGGCAATGCATTTAATTACACCGTGAGATAACAATAAGCAATTCCTACTTAACAGTTACCACTATCAGATTTTCGGGTTCGAGATTCTGTGTCCGCGTAACTTTCTTTGGATGATTCTTTATTTGCGTTATCTCTTCGCTGTTGATCCCAGTTGCCGCTATACAGATCAAGCTCTCTCTCCTTACTCTACACTCGGAAACACTGAGAAGATCTACCAGATTTCCTAAGAATTCAGAACTACAATGGCAGCTCGTGTAATCACGGTTTCACAGACCGGAAGAGGAGACTATCGGACGGTGCAGGAAGCAATTGATGCCATCCCACTGGGAAACAACCGTCGGACGGTGATTCGAGTGTCTCCGGGAATCTACAAGCAGCCAGTGTACGTACCCAAGACTAAGAATTTCATCACCCTTGCTGGTCTGTGCCCAGAGGATACTGTGCTTACGTGGAATAATACCGCCACCAGAATCGAACACCACCAGGTGGGCGAACATGGATCTTGTTCAGCTCATATGAATTTTTGAGTATTTTGATTTTTTAAGAGTAGGAATTGTCCGTTTTGGCGGTGATTTTTCCTGCAGGCTGCTCGGGTAATAGGCACTGGTACTTTTGGCTGTGGTAGTACCATTGTGGAAGGAGAGGATTTTATTGCCGAGAACATCACGTTCGAGAATTCCTCCCCTCAGGTAATGCGTGTAAAATATTAGTTTTCTGCGAGATTCGTTGGCATCACTGGCAATTTGTGCCTATCTAGGATAAACTAGCTATCGTTGATGTGACAAATATGCATATATGATATGTAAATAAAACTGTTTATTGTTACAATCCCGTGTTAGCTTAAATAAACAATTTATGATATAAATTCTGAAAAATTGTCGGCCAAGGTGTTGTTCACGCATAAACTTAAAAATATTTATGATTTGCAATCGTCAGCAAGATATACAATTTAGAATCTAGTTGCCTTTTTATACCCATGAGGTTGGAAGTCGTCTCCTTACCAACAAGTGTAAACTTTGTTTTACGGGAAGCTATTGCTCTGAAGTTTCGCAATTTTGAGGTTTTGAATCTGCTCAAGAATCAAGGTAGAAACTTATTAGCTTTCCTTTTGTCACTATTCAAAGATGCTGCTGCAAATTTTTTGGATGATCATGTTGGTATTTGCATCCAAATTTTGAATAGCGTCTCCTGAAGTGATTGGCAGATGGAAATTAGTTACAAGCTTATACTTTTCTTCCCTTTTTTCTTCTCTTTTTGGCAGGGTTCAGGGCAAGCAGTGGCAATCAGAGTGACAGCAGATCGATGTGCCTTTTATAACTGCAGGTTCCTGGGATGGCAGGTATGTCCTTGTCTCAATGTGTTAGTCTAATAGTTTAGAGGCTTCTTGAAATATTTTATGTAGAGATGTAGACTTGCAGAACTGGTTGATTTAATGTTCTTTTTGGTATATTTATTAAGTATTTCTTTGTTGCGGGAGGTTTTATATTAAATTATAACTGTCATGTTGTTAAACTTTTACCTTAGAGTTGTGCTTTAAATCTACTTAGGACCATGGTTGTCACTTATCAGACAATATGCTCTTATGTGCTATATGTGAGTGGGTTCTCTTTCATGTGAGGATAATCTAGAGGAGGTACCAAGGAGATAAATTGCTGACATGATTATGATGCAGGACACTCTGTACTTACACTATGGGAAACAGTACTTGAAAGATTGTTATATTGAAGGAAGCGTGGACTTCATTTTTGGCAATAGCACTGCTCTTTTGGAACATTGCCATATTCACTGCAAGTCTGAAGGCTTCATTACTGCACAGAGCAGAAAATCTTCTCATGAAACAACGGGTTATGTATTCCTAAGGTGTGTAACTGACCATTGTCTATATCTTCCCACCTATTCACACGCTTTAGTCATTAGAAGTACTTAATATGTCCAAGCAAGAAAAGATCCGTTTCTGAAATATTTGGTACACCATGATGTAATTTAGTACTCCCTCAGTCCCTTTTTATAAGCAACATTAGAGCTCATCACGTAGATCAAAATGTTAGTTAAAATTAGTTAAAGACAATAAATATGTAGAAATTAGAAGTTCTTTCTCTAAGATACCCTTATTTATGAGGGGGAGAGTATAAGAGAGAGAATAAGTAAATTGTTATAATAAAGAGAATTATGGAAAAGAGAGCATGTGTGATAGAGAGATGATGGTTCGGAAAATGAGATAATAAATATATTGACTATTAAAATAAGTAATTAATGAGGGCAAAATAGGAAATTCGCTACAAAAATTTAAGATAACTTGCAAATGTTGCTTATATTTAGGGACAACAGGGAGATAGTAGTTGTTGCTTATAAAATAGGACGTAGGGAGTACATGATAAGGGAATGGAAGTATTTACTACGTGTGAGGCAATATTGCTCCTAGAAAAGGTTTATTGCAATTGTGTTGCTAACATGTTGTTATTGGGGAATAATTCCTAAATTTTTTGAAACAGCCACTGATAGTATTAATGTCCAAATTAATTTGTACATGATTAGGAATGAGAGAATCTTCATATTTGGAAAAGTGATCTTTGCATACACTGACTTTGGCCATTGTTGGCTGCTGCCACTGCAGATGTGTCATAACGGGTAATGGAAATAATTCATACGCATATCTTGGACGACCATGGGGACCTTTTGGAAGAGTGATCTTTGCATACACTTATATGGATCGATGTATAAGGCCTCATGGCTGGAATAATTGGGATAAAATTGAGAATGAGAGAACGGCTTGCTTTTATGAATACAGGTGGGTGTATCATGTCTAGCTTCATTTTGTACTGTTTGATGCCTACCAGCATCTTATGGAATCAGTCTATGTGTTACTGATATATGGCCCAAGTATTTAATCAATGTAAATATAGATCTAAGTGGAACCAACGCAGATGTAACTGTTCAATATGTTCAAATGACTTGAATACGTTAAAGTTGTCTAGGATTTGACTTCCTTTCATTTAATGCACTTACCTGCTTGACCCACGACACTTGGGAAATGCCTTGTTTGAACTACATATGTGATCGAAATACTTGTAACCTGTCTTAACATGAAAAATTGCTGTCTGTTATCAAAACTGCAGGTGTTATGGACATGGTTGCTGCCCATCCAATCGAGTAGCATGGGCTAGAGAATTGATAGATGAAGAGGCAGAGCAGTTCCTTTCACATCGTTTCATTGACCCAGATGCTAATAGACCTTGGCTTGCCCAAAGAATGGCCTTGAGGATTCCATATTCTGCTTAGAAATTAAAATTATAGATGGGACTATAGTAGGAAGTTCATATCAGTTCATTACATGTGCGCTTAAAATTCCCACCGTTTGTGGAATTTATATGCCAATTATTATGTATGATGCTGTGGCCACTGAAGATTAATAAAATTATTGAATGATGATGCTCTTTCCATGGAGATATTTCTACTGGTTATTATTTTCAGCGAACGAGTTTCTGGTTGTCATATTATTGAAACCTGGGGAAGTTGGTTAGCTGCAGATTTTGAACTTCTTGAACGGGATGACATTTTGCTGCATGCTATTCTCGAAGCAAAGTTTAAGCTAAGAAGGTATAATAATCTATAACGAACCAAGCAGGATGCCTCTGAAAATTAGGTTTTGGAGAACTATCAGATTGTAATTTAACCTAGCAAGCTTTGCAAACAAGGGTTTGTGGGAACGGCACATGGACATAGACATAGATATAGAGGTACATATGGGCCAAAAAGGGACTTGACATGCATAGAATTTATTGAAAAAAGAAGGAATGAGAGGACAATAGATATGATTACATGATAGTGTCCTTAAAATAAATTTTAAAACCAAAGTATCTTTACGAAATTTAATTTATCAAATACAAAGATGTTAGAAAATGATAAAAACGTATGATATGACTTTCTTCGGTTTTATCTGCGCAGAAAAAGACAAGAAATTCACCGAGAACGCCCCACAAACGGGTGAAACAAAGACGGGAAGTTATGGAGATGCGGGGGATCGAACCCCGTGCCTCTCGCATGCAAAGCGAGCGCTCTACCATTTGAGCTACATCCCCAATCTTCTGTCAGCGGCCCTTTACTTTCTTCCTTTTTGACTAACTCATCATTTCTACCTCAACCTTCGAGTTAAAGAGAGGAGGACTGTGCCTGTCCGGTATGAAAATTATGCCAAAACCCCGACATGAAAATGTGTGCTTGCGTCCACCGGGACAGACAAAATAACTAAATTTCATAACTACTCTTATATTCAATGAAGTTTAAATATAAATTTTTTATGAATATTTCACAATTTTTGATACAAACCTAAATAGTGTGATACAAATAAAAAGACAGCTTCTCGTCGCCACACTTTTTATCCACTTCAAAATTAATGTTTTACAAAACCATAGAGAAAAATTAGTAAAGCATAAATAACTGCCCGTTACGTATATGACATTCTAAATTCACAATGAAAATAAAGTGGATGGAAACTGGAAAGTGTATTGAAGAGAACCCATAACTATACATAAGGATTTCCAAATTCCTTATTGACACGCGCGCGCTTGCACTGTTCAAATAATCTTTCAGAATAATTAAATCATGTAGATAATTACTTAAGACTTTTTTTTTTGGGTGGTTTGATGTAACTGTTTTTTCATAATTTGTTAATTAATGAGAAGTTGACAACTGGCAGCTTGGGAATGACAGAATAAAAGTATATTTGATGAAGATTTGGCTAGAACTCATGATCCAAATAGCCATATTATTAGGAGGGATAGCTGTCTCTTTGTCAATCCCTTAATAGAAATTGGTTTCTACATTCAACTGAAATAAATTAGGAAAGTGATAATAGCAAACTTTTTGAAGCCATTAATGATAATTGAAGACATCTAATTATTGAAATATTATGGAAGGGCTATGGTCTTTATTTGCGATTAAAATTAAATGACTTCACAAAATTGCTCTCATCATCAAATGCTGAAAATAGCCAATAATAGACGTTCATTCATGAATTTAGAAGAAAGAATGGGGGGAGCAACAAACAAGTGTTATGAATTATCACTTCCAACTCACCAGTCTCTGAAAGGAATGAATGGTGATTAGTAGTTACCAATAGTCGGAGCAAGAGCATGATCCTTGTTTGAAACTATGAAAACGATAACGATCACGGACGACAATTTCACGGTTGTATATGTCAGAGGCAATCTTAATAGCAGAATGACAATCCAAGCATATCCTCAGGTTCTTAAAAATATACAATGGGGAACCAGATCGCGTGCTTATCAGGCCAAAACAGAGAGCTAACTTCTCACTATGTGTGAACAATACCTGCTCTACCTCCTCCAACTCTTCTCTGTAGTTATCCCTTCCAGAACAACCAGATAACACTTGGGAAGCTGTACTGGGAACATAACCAGCCAACCTTAACCTTCGAATCATGTCATCTAGCATCCTATATATTTCTGCAGTTTGCAGGTGTGTCTTATCCCCTGCAGTAAATTGATGGAGTTTGCCAGCAACATATATCGAACTCACACCTGGCATCTTTTTAATACCCCTGGTTTTAAGAACTTGCCTAAGAGAATTAGCCTTGTCCTCTTTTCCAGACAATGCGTACATATTTGAAAGCAGAATATGACATTCTGTGTTGTGGGGATCCAACTGAATCAGCTCCTGCATCATCTTCTCACCGAGCTGCAACTTACCGTGGACACGGCAAGAACCCAGAATGGACCCCAATACCACTTCATTTGGAGGAATTGGCATCTTTTTCATGAAGGACAAAGCTTCTTCAAGACGACCAGCCCGACCCAATAGGTCTACCATACAAGCATAATGTTCTATTTCAGGCTTTATGTTGTAAACCGATTCAAGGCTGTGGAAATATTGCCAACCCTGTTCAACAAGGCCTGTATGGCTGCAAGCACTTAGCAAAGACATAAAGGTCATTGCATCTGGTTTCGCTTCTTTGACCAAATCAGGAAACATTTCCACCAAAACTTTGCCCCGTCCATGCATGGCCAACCCTCCAAGCATAGCATTCCAAGCCACTGTATTTCTTCGTGGCATATGCTTAAACACTATCAATGCAGTGTTTATCCAACCACATTTTGAGTACATGTTAACCAAACTCGTGCCAACCATTATATTCATGTCCCTACCCATTGATTTCAAAGCATAAGTATGAACCCACCTGCCCAGAGCCACATCACCTGACTGTGAACAGGCTGACAAGAGCGAAGAAAGAGTAACGTAATTCAATCCCATCCCACAATCAAAAATCATTTCTTTCAGAAGGTAAAAAGCATCCCGCGTAAACCGGTTTTCTACATAACCCACGATCATAATGGTCCAAGCAACCTCATTCTTCTCAGGCATCCTGTCGAACACGGCTCTTCCACTTTCCACTCCTTCCCATTTTACGGCTCCTTCCAGAATCCCAGTCCACGACACAACACTATGTTCCTCCATCTCTTCAAAGACCCTTCTAACTTCACTCACGAATCCACACTTCGCATACAGATCCATAACTGCATTGCACAACTTCACATTGTTAATTAAACCAGATTTCACCGCACCAGCATGTAATTGTAGTCCAACCTTAACATCCACCAGGCGTGCACAGGCATTGAATACGCAAACCATGGCCACCTCATCAACCTCTGAGCCCTCTCTTCGCATATCAACAAAAAAACTAAGCGCCGCTCTAGGCATGCCATGGCGAGCAGAGCAACCAATCAAGGTGGTCCAATCTACAGAGTCCTTGTGAGAGTGGGGGATTTCATCAAACACCTTGCGCGCGTACAGAGCACAACCGCAAGCTGCGTACAGATGGAGGAGGGCGTTGCGAAGGAAGTGATCAGGAAGACAAACAAGGCCAGTGACAATGACTTTGGCGTGGAGCTTCTTTCCGGTGTCGAGAGAGGAATTGCGAGCACAAGCTCTAAGAAGAGAGCGAAAGCGTGGAGCGAGGGAGGAGGGCGCCGAGTGGGACGTCCAGATCATTCGAGAGACGTGGATGATAAGCTTGTTATTGAGAGATATTGGTGGCTAAGATAACTTTAAACCGATTATTACTTCACAGAAGCTTTGCTTAATTATTAATATGCCTAAATAGGAGTTGCATCTTACGCAGACAGACAAGAAGCCAGGTTTGGAGACGTGAGTTGTCTAGGTATTGCAGTTGCAGCAATGCAGAGCCTGCAATCCGAGCTGCCAGAGATGATGTTGACCTATAACCAACAATCAGGTAGAAGCATAGGAAGGCTGGAGACTGAATCATGTCGTGGACCAAATTTCACTTCATGTACAAGCAATAGTCAAAACATAACTTTTTCCCTTAAATATAGGTAAAATTTCAATCAGTTCCCAAAAAAAAAAAGTTTCAGGCAAAAATTATAACTTTTGAGATTTGTTTTATAATTATTTTTTTCCTTAATATCTCATTGTAATTCTTCTTTAAATATAAAGCAAAAAAAAATGAGTGTTCTTAAATAAGTAAATATTATAATGTTTACAAAGATTTTTTGGAAAAAAATTAATTCGCTATACGTAATATTGGTTCGGGTTTTTTTTAAAGGGGCGGTAGCCGGTAGGGAAGAGGAGGGGAGGGGAGGGCTGGTAAAAATTTTTGTCTTCTTGTGCTCCCTTTTCCTCCTCCGTCAGCTGAGAAATGATTTTACACATTCTGACTAAATGGCCCATGCCATATTTTTAATATTACAATTTTAACCAACGCAACTTTTGAACTCCAACTGTTTCTTCGGGTATGTTTGGATATCAGAATCCCACTTATGTGCGACCACGTTGAAGCTATTACCATTGAAGGCGCGGCTGAAGATGAGAATGGAGGCGTCGCAGTCTCCCAACATGAAGTCGTGGAAGAAGAGGCGGAGGGTGGTGGCAGCCATGCTTGGCGTTCTTTGTTGCTTATCTATTACAATTGTTTCCTCCAATTTTGAGTATTTTGAGTATTCTGGTAGTAGTTGATATTCAACTTTAATCAATAGAAAAATGCAAGGTAGAAACAAACTCATCGAAGAAGAAACATTCTCAACCCTCAAACCTACGAATGAATCAAAATGGTGGGGTAGTTTTTGAACTAGTTGATCAGATGGGAAAGGAGAATTTGATGGCGGAATAATCATGGAAGAGAGATATGAAACCCAGCTGCCGTTATCGGAGAATTCTAAACCAAAGAGGAGGACAAGTCGTCTTCATCAACAAAACGGTGAACAATAATTATTATCATATATAATTATATATATACACATATAATTATAAAAAACAATTTAAATAAATAAAATAAGGGTGAAGTTATTCATATAAAAAATATTTTCCTTCCTCTCTCCTCTTCAACCAAATAAAGTGACGTTAAATTCCTTTTCATTCCTTATTTTCGTTAAAATCTCTTCCCTCTTTTTTCCTTCCTTTCTTTCGGTTGAATCGAGCACACCCTTAAAAAACAATTTTTCTTAATAAAATGAAATATCAGCTCCAATTCTTAATATAAAAGTTAGATAACTAATTAGAGATTAAAAAAATTAGTTAAGTTAGTTATTTATAACAAATATGTGTTAATTTTCTTAAATTACCTTTATTCAATCATATACATTGAAACTACACATAGGTGAAAATATCTTACAATCAATAGAAATATTTTCTAAAAACATATTATAAATTTGGAAGATAAAATAAATTAAGATATTATATTTACAACTGCCAACTAGCTTTTATATTTAATACTGAAAAAGATACTCCTCCAATCATAAATATAAAACCCCTTTTGTAGTAATTTACATTACACTACAAAAATGGTTTTATATTTAGAATAGAAGGAATAGTAGTTATTTTTTGGCTTGTGCACAGGAACAGAAGGAGCCGCTCACATGAAAAGATTTACACCACAAAAAAGATCTTATATTTAGAAGAGCAAAATAATAGTTATTTTTTGGCTTGTGTGCAGGAACAGAGGGAGCGGCTCACATGAAAAGAAGCCTGCAATTGTAATATTTTTACTCCTCCGGTCCAAATTATAAGACCCAATTGATTTATTTGAGGAGATTAAAGAAGTAAGTTAAGTTGATTATTTATAATAAATAAGTGTTGTCATTCCTAAAATATCCTTGCTAATTAAATATATTGGCTAAAACTATCATTATTAGAAGGATTATCTTAGAAAAAAATGCATAAATATAAGAGACAAAATGGATTGGGATCTTATAATTAAAACCAACTAAAAAGTCAAATTGGGTCTTATAATAAGGACCGGAGGAGTATTTTTTTTAAAACGTAGTAGAATTTTTTTCATTTTTTCAAATATCCCGACACCGCTACACAAGATTGCGCATTGGGAGAAAATTATTAGCAAATGTTATTTATATGTTCACATAGAAGGCGACGCCAAAGATGAAGCAGAGGGCCTCCGGCGTAAGCTTTAAATAATAAAATTGAATTGCGGGCTAATGCGCAGAGTTCAGAGCTCACTTCAACATGAATCACATTGTTGATAGTTTATAAATAATATATCAAGAATTTATCGTCTCATTTTCATATTTCGACATCCATCCATACCCGCGCTGAGGACGGCTCTGACTTCTGATCAAAAACATAACTCAAGAATGAAGAACAAGCAGCGAAGCTAAATGCAGTAGAAAGGGCGCAAGAGCCACATTCGGTCCGATCGATGATTAAAAACCAACCCTCTCCCCGTTATAACCACCGTGAATCTTTATATCATAATACAATTCATGCAATAGCCGATAATCAATACACAACCAGAATTCCAGACCTGGCAAAGCCAGCATATACATGCCATACACTTCGAGAAGCAAACAGAGTCAAATTAGCCAGCGGAAATCTGTCCGAGCAATCACAAACCAGAGTTAAACAAAAGGAAACCCGGGGGGGGGGGAATTGGAAATAATTCTCAGCCATATACCTAGGCAATTTTTGAACCGATACCAGAAAACGTCTGGTCTTGGCTATTTGCGGAGTTTAAAGTACAGAATTAAGGCAATAACTATAACCAAGACTGCGATGATGCCGCCAATAATCCACTTATTCTTGCTCATCCTTCTTGACATGTTAGACAAAATTCTTTTGCTCTTGCCTATATTATCATCAACTCCATGAAGCTGCCAAGAAAATATACCGCCCATGAATAAGAGAGCTGTGTCTCATAAATAGCACATATTTCTGTTTAATGTTTCTAGACCAATTTCAAGCATAACTGAATGAGCAACATCAGAGCGATTCGTGCAGAAATCACAACAATAGATAATAGAAATCCCAAAAGGTGTTAACAGATGATCTACAAACGAATCAAACACTAGATTATAAAAAGATTACCGTGTCATGTGCATGCAACAAAGATTGCCGTTGTGAATGCAAATCTTGAAGAATTGAAACACCGAGCTCTTCTGTTTCCAACATTGTTCTTCTGCTGTCCTTAATTCTGTCACCAGACTTGTTTAACCTCTCGGTTGACATCATTAATCTTGCTCTCTGATCAGATGATGCCTATTGCATTCACATTCATGCTGGAGTCAGATTTGGTGGTGTTAGCCTTTGCAATAATTAGTAAAATTAAGACCAGTCATTCTCCACATCTAGGAATCAGAAAGAATAACTGCCATTTACCATGATAAGAATTAGTAACATGGCAAAAGGAATTCATGCTGTTGTTTAAGGGTAATTGTACAATGTACACCATAATTGACCTACCCAACGTATAACACGCCCCAGCTCATACAAGCTTGGCTAAAGTACTAGAAATATTACATAATGGCAGCTGCGTATTTTGCTTGAGATGGTAAGCCCACATCAACTACAACGAGTCAATACATAATCCATTACTTTTGGAATTAAAACTACAATGGGCCCCCATGCATTTGCACGAAGCCCAAAACGAACTGCACTATAAATATAAATATAAATATAAATATTTTTTATGTTAATACCTGCATTTTTTTATGTTATATTGACTACTCATTTCTAAAGACAAAATATAAATGCCGCTCCAAAACAGTTTCACAATACAATGAAATCATCTTAAGTCATACATCAGTTAGGAACGTTACCGTCAAAGCATCTGTCATGCCTGATTCCAACAACTCATCCCGAGCAGAAGGGTTCAAGTTACCAGATACAATTTTCTTAACTTCACTTTTAAGATTATTCAAATCTGACTTGTACTCCCGCAACTTAGCAAGAAGCACAGCCTTGACGTTTGGTTGCAAACTTCTTGCCTCAAGGTCCATTTTTCGAATCTACAACATAATAAGCTCAGTCATGTCAGAACCCCAGAGTACAGAAGAAAGACAAGTTCCCCACACACAGGAGGAGAAAGTACCAAAGCTTCTGCTTCATCAATTCCAGCCTTTATTTCCGAAACTTTTTGCTTCTTTTGCTCTGCAAAAAGTTATATGAATTATAGGGGAACATATGACTCAGCATAGAACTAAGGCTTCAATTTTCATTCCTCTTTTCTTGATAAAAGCTTTCAACTAAATCCACTCTCATAGCTCATTACTTTAAAAGGAATCCTCAATTATTTACAATCCATTGCATTCTCTAGTGAATGAATATCTGTGTAACACATTTTTAGGTCACTTTATTCAATAACCAGTACATTAGAGCACTTTTGTAATATCAATAAAGGTTTGTCCAATGCGTAAAAATTTGACTAATAACTCACAAGATCGTGTGCTTAAATCCCACAGCTTATGCAAGGACTTTGTTATGAACGATCTATAAGTACCTTTGTAACTGCCCTTTGAGCTCAAAGGCATATCCTAGCCTTAGTAAGCCTTCAAGACCCAACTCACCCAAAATTTTTCCTTTTATATATATACAGAGACGTTAAAATTGGGGAAGGGCATCGAACATGAACAAATTTCTATAGAATTGAAGGAAAAAGATACATGTGTTCTTTTTAACCTTCCCAATACCTCAAACATTAAAACCCACAGAACGCAGTTTCTGCTCCAAATCAGTGTATTCAAGAATCATTAAAGTGAACGATAGAGATTTTTTTCATCCTAGCAAAAATTGTGCTTGCATGGACAACGATACAGAGGCAATTGTCCCTTGGCTCTCTAAGGAAATGACCGGTGGGAATGGGAAGCTTCAGAAGGTATCAATAGGAGAAAATTTTCCAAAGGCTCCTTCTATTACCAGGATCTAGACAACAATAGATCCAAAGTCCAACCAATGCATGTACAGATTAGAGAGCAAAAATTGAAGGAATCTGACAAGAAACAGAAAAATATTGAGATCATAATTACACATCCTGAAATTTTATGGATGCTTAGTTTGTTTTGGGTTTGACAACTACAAACTGCATTTATTTTTTTCTTTCTCCAAAAAGGTTGCAATTCTTAGCACAATAATTTTTCACTTGTTCAAAATTACGTCTTCGCCATGACAATGGCAATTATCAAAATACATCTGGTAATTAAAAGTAGTTTTGCTTCATCAAGGATCTGGAAATCATTAAACAATGATAATACGCATTTTCAACATAAGCGACATAATTCGGGAGATTAACTGAAAATTCCAAAACAAAATAAAGACTGAGGCAGGTTCAAGGAGAATCCCGAAGCATCAGCAGCATTCCAGACTCATCTAAAAACGAAAAAAGAAAAAACAGGGAAGATCGGGCAAGATTTTTCAACTACCTCCGTTGAGAGCAAAAGCTCCAGTGCACTTTTTTGATAGATTAGCCGAGAGCTCGCAGTACTGGCGTTCATATCCCTCAAAAACGTTACTCATCGTCCGGGACCTTCTATACCCTCTGTTCAATTCAAGATCAACAAGTAGGTTCAACGTAATCAATCGTCAGAAAAGACGAGATTGCTTTCAAATATTTCAGAAAGACAGAAACGAAATCGAAACCTTCGGCCACAAAATCAAAAACTAAACCCTAATTCGATCGACGCCTAAGAGCAAAGCATAAAAAGTACAATTTCGGCGTTGATCAGTTGGGGCAGCCAATAATCCAAGCGAGAACCCAAACAAATGAATAGATCGCGAGAAGAAAACCGAAGGGCCGCACCTGAGATTGTCGCAGAATCGGAGACGACACCGAGAAGTCAGAGAACCGAGGGGAGTTAGGACGGAGACCGGTAGTGACGCTTTTCGTTAAGGGACGGTATAAGGGGTCAAAACGGCAGCGTGGGGAAAGCAGTGGACGAAGATAAAGCACAGCATAAATGTGCTGCTTGCTCGTGGCGCGTATGCTAAATGGTGCACACGTATGCGGCTATGCGCTGCGCTTTGGGCCTTGTGGTGATGACGTGGAGGGAAATTATATAGAGCGCGTGAAATTCATTTCCCTCCTCGGCCTACCTCTCCATTCCACGGATTTTTTGTTCTTTGCAGTTTATAACCCAACCCAACTGACCGCCAAGCGAGTCCATGTCAATGGTAATGATCATGTGAGAGGCTATCTCTGTGTTATTGATTAATTAAGACAATAAGCATTCTCATCTTATAAAAAAAAAAAATACAAGTTTGAATTTTAAGAAACGTATTTATTAAAAAGATTTTTGATTTTAACGTTTCTATTCTAACAGAAATTAATTTCAAACTCAAAGTAAATTGAGTGAAAAATGTAAATAATTTTTATCGATTTGTCTAATAAATATTGTCTCTTGCGTGAAAACTATATAAGCATACTGCACTTAAATAATCAAATCAAGTGTGCATCAACATTACATTTCTAGTTTAATCCGCACTCTGCATATGTCACGCTCATCTTCAATATTTCACAGAAGGAAAAAAACAGCTTCTCTAGTTGGTCCAAAAACGTCACCGTCTAGGGTGTAGTTGGAGAAAGAAAACTCCATCAATAATGTTTATACAATTTCAAAAAAAGGTTATATGATAATATAATTTTAATCAATCAAAGTTTGGCAGTGACACTAGATATAAATACTCCTCCGGTACTTAACATAAAATCTAATTATCGTGTTAATCTTGGTCTTAAATGTAAGATTTATTTTCATATTTATCAATTTTTTAAAATACCTTTATTAATACCATCTCAACTATAATCAAGTAGGAGAATAAAAAGAATATAAAAAAATATTATAGTGTTTTAGAAAAAACATATCATGCTTTATATAATTAACTGACTTATTTCACTTTTTAAATATAATCAAATTAATTAAATAAGTCTTACATTAAGGATTAGAAGAGTATGTTTGGATGAAAACAAATCACATAAACAGTTTCATGGAGGGACATCATGTATGTCTCAAGTGGGAAGCATTGAAGTGATCGTTTTTCATGAGCTTTATTAGCAACGACAAGAGGAAACCTCACGACTAATTACTTATTATTTGATAATTTCTGGTTAACTATATAATTAATAGCGATATTGACATAGTTTTGCCGTGAAAGAGACTTTTAAATTGTTTTTTCTTACACGTCTCCTAGCTAAATTGCTTCGCTTTTAACCGTTTTTAAAACTTGATGTGTTTTTAACTCAACCAAAAAAAAAAAAAACACATACAAGTGTGCGTGTGTGCACGCAGGAGAGGGAGATAGAGAGGGAGAGAGACGTGTTTTTATGACAAATGCTTATTATGCAGATATCTTTATTTTCGCCATTTTCCCCTTAAATCGGAGAGATTTCCAGCCCATAATTACTTAGCTCGAAACCTTATTCAAAAATTTATTTCATGTATATATTTATCTTTTGTCAAGCATCTGGTTTATGCCTTAGTTAAAGGCTTATAGTGCCGAGTAGGAGCAAATCATGAGCAAAATCGAAGAATGAGTATTGTTTTTTTAAAAAAATTAAAATTAAAACTAATTGCATTTCTCAGTCTGTGTGAAATGATTATTTATTTTTTTCCTTCACACCATCTTACATTGTTTAAATCAGGTTTGTAAACTTAATAAGTTGGAGTGAAATCAAAATTCTAAACGGAAAAATCATTTAAAAAAATATTTGCGCTATGCCTATGACCAATTCAGGTTGACACTCCAAGGCGAAATCCAAGTCCTGGCCTGGTCAAGCAAAACAAAAGAATCAACAAATAAATAATAAGACCGCACTAATTACAAAGCCTCAAAAGCTGCCAAATGCTTGGATCTTGAAGCCGAAATTATAATGAAACAAATGAATAGAACCAACCAATGGGACCGATTCAGCCTCAAGACTTATTTGACAGGATCTTTCTGCTCACACCACCCCCCCACCCCACGCACGCAAATATATATATATATAAAACCACACACTACCTTCAACTCCAATCCAAGCAACCAACCATATCATAGAACAAGCAAGCCTAGACTCTGAAAGAAGAGGTGAAATGGCAAGGAGGAGGAAGGCTGTGGAAATAGAGGGAGACGGAGGCATGAAATGGGATGAGATGGTGAAGGAAGCTGAAGCACTGGGAGTGGGCAGAAGGGCCAGGAAGCGTTTTGTTGGGGTCAGACAAAGGCCTTCAGGAAGATGGGTTGCTGAGATTAAGGATACTATTCAGAAGATTAGAGTTTGGTTGGGAACTTTTGATACTGCTGAGGAAGCAGCTCGAGCTTATGATGAGGCTGCTTGTCTCCTTCGTGGTGCCAACACTAGGACCAATTTCTGGCCTTGCTCTCATTCTTCTTCAACCCCTGTTCTTTCCTCTAAGATCACGAAGCTCCTCCTTCAAAGGCTCAAAGCAAGGAACAACTCTTGCTTTGATTATTCTTCTTCTGATTTCTCTTCCTCTGTTTCCCTTCTTTCTGATCAGCAAGAAAAGCAGCAAGCAGATTTGTACAATGAAGCAGAAGCTGCGGATTTTTCAGTTGACCAGTTGACTGATTTCCTCAACGATCCTGAAGACTACATCGCAGGCAACAATGGCTTTAATCTGTTCACTGATCACAGTACACAAGTCGATTCCTTTACCAATAGTCTTGAATCATGTCTGACTGAAACAGATGAATGCAGGGAAAGAGAAATGGGGTTGGAAAATGAAGTCAGAAATGTTGCTGGCTGCAACTCAGGAGGGAAAAGAGAGGAAGAAAGTGAAGAGGAAATGATGCATATGGGTGTGCAGGATTTTGAGTTTCTGGACAAGGTTGCACCGTCATGTTACTATTCACCTTTTGAGATGGCTGAGGAGATGGAGGATCCTGTGGTGGAGGCAGAGAGCTACGGTGATGAGCCTTCAATGCTCAGAGCTGCCATGAAGAGGATGAAGTATGAGAGGAAGTTCTCAGCTTCCCTTTATGCATTCAATGGAATACCTGAATGCTTGAAGCTGAAGCTTGCATCAGGAAACTCCAAGGGAAGAGGGGTTTCTGATCATTTAGCCGACCTTCAGATGGCTTGTAGCAGCAAGGGGAATTTGAGGAGAATAAGGAGGGCAAACAAGACATGGGACTCGTGGAAAGGAAAGAAGAAGAAAACCCAGAGGAGTGTTCTTCATCTTCTACCGGTGGTGATGGTGACTTGTTGCTTTGGAATTCACTGGATCTTCCTCCCATATGTTTCGTTAACTAACTAAATAATAGTCGGTTCCAACATATCATACGTTTCTGTAACTTGAATGTATGCTAAGTGAGAGATTGTAACGTCAGGTTTTGCAGCAATCAACATTGGTTAATTTATGTTATGTTCATTATTCCTAGAACCAGCAGTAACTCAACCGTTCAATTGAGTTCTGATCATTCTTCTTCTCATAATAACTGATTCTATCCTCATCACGAACTCATCTGTTAATGAATACCAACTCATACAACACTTTCCCAACTGAGTGCTTCCAGCCATTCCGTCTACTAATGCAACGCAGAAAGAGATGGCTCTTGCGAGGCAATAGGAAAAAGAAATGATACAGAATAATGGATCGGGATACTATGTAGCTTTTCCCCGCGGTTCCGAAAGGAAGAAACTACTTGAGAAGCATGCTAAGAATGACTGTTTCCTTTCTTATTGTGTATTAAAAAAAATATTAATATATACATACACATAAAAAATTAATCTTTTAATCCTTATAGTTTTGTCTCAATTAAAATTCAGTCTCTCAACTTTTAACTCATTACACTCAATCTTTACAATTTTAATCATCTTAAAATTTTAGTCCTTAAATTTCATAAAATATATAATTTTATTTTTTAAAATATAAAAGCTCATATTTTAAGTAGTTAAATTATAAAAATTAATTTGCATCGAATCAAAATTCCGGGTGAGTTACAATGATCTAAAATTTAGAACTTAAATTACAACAAAATAAAAACTATAAGAACAAAAAGATTAATTTTTGTACATGTACTACAGATGGCCACAGTTTCTTTGCTTTCTACCCCAATATATACATGTAACTCAACCTTCGTACATGCAAAGTTGATCTGAGCAATCGCACCAGAGGGCAAAAGTAGCATCAGCTTAGTGCAGGAACGATTTTTAAGGGAAAAATGGATATCAGGGAATGGCAAAACCGATTGGCGGAAAAAAAAAATTTCCTAAAATCAACTCAGCATTTCTCGGGTAATTTTAAAACAGGTTCACAGAATTAACATCCATAGCATTCATTCCACGGAACGTGTGGGGAGCGTGCAGGAGAAAGGGCTAATAATGTACCAACCTTGGATTCGTTCTCTGCCTCAAACTAGCCAGCAAACGTGAATTGAATATATAGCACTATCAACACTTTCATGCAAGGGCAAAAGGCTAACACCGCAAGCTTATTACATGCCGCGTGGACAGAAAGCCCTGTTTCCAGTGCCAGTTATCAACAGTATTTACAACAACAACAACAACATAAGCCATAATACCAATTAAGACTAGCGCTAATTCTTCCATAGCATTCCCAGGTTTTTCACTTTCACATAGTAGAAATTCAGTTCCCTTGCGGGAAAAGCAAACCTAGTTGAACACCAAAATTATGGAAGCAAGTCTGATATTTAGGGTTAGCTTGCAGCAATAATGGTCACCCCGGTAACAAAACAAAAAAAAAGTCGGGTTATATTGAAGGAGTAATACTGAAATTGCACTTATGTACAATGCAAGCTTATCTACAAGCTCCATTAAACACATCTCAAGTCTCCTTTGACAGCCTAAGCTCTTCTCTCTAGAGGACACGTAGCTGCGCAAGGAAGGAAGCACAAAGATCCAAGAAGAGCAACTGTGGGCCCTGGACCCTTTGAAGATCAAGCAGATACTTCTCTTCACGGGTTTTGTAAAGCTGTCAAATCCATGAAAGAAATTTAAGTAGATGTTACCTTTCCACACATTCCCAAATGACTTACTAACAGACAGCGATAAAGAATTCTCTCATCATGATGTCCAGACTCCAGAGAATGCAAAATGCATGCAGTAACTTAGAGGAGAAGACTTGGATATATAGTTTTTAGACGCTTCCTGTCAAGTTCTCCAATAAAAACACGACAAATAACTAGTCATGTTTTCACTGAAGAACCTGGCAACAAAAACTTGGCGGAACTTAATGCAATTCCTCATAGCAAATATATGGCAAGTAACATGTCAGGGATATTTTAACTATAGCAAACATATCAAACACTAAGAAATAATAAATAATCTGTAACACTAGTAGTAGTCTAAAGAGTTAATTTTAGATATACAGATTCTTATCTGCTAATGACGGGGAAAAGTTGGAGTTAGAAGAATTTGTTCTATTGTCATTTCTTCTTTAGCCAAATACAACAAATTGAGACTAGAGTTTTCAAGAAAGGTTACCTGCATTTCAAACTTGACTACATTTGACTTAGAAACGGCATCATTCTCAATAACAGCAGAATCATCTCCAAAGTAATGATTATGATTGTTCACCATTCCTTCAGGATGACCCAGGATGCCAGCAACCCACCGGCACTTCATGTTATAGTGCCCAATCTTCTTCCAACCCACATTCAATTCTTGCAGAGCTTTAAGGACCTCAGTCATTATTTCACGGGGATGGGCCCGAGACTGCCACAAGATGATGGGGCATTATTTAACAAAGAAAGCCCATCAAAGCTTAATGCTTCTGATGCCATCTATCAACAAGGAACAATATAGACACTAACAATTTATTTTATTTGCGCATGACCCGTAAGAAAAACAAAGTAAGCAAGCACCAGAGTCAATCAACAAAATTGATCGCCCAAACATCCATAAAAGAGATGGAATCGGATAAAACAGACATTAAAAAAGAATTTCCTCATAAAATAGTTACACATCATCGCCAGTGAAAGTGGCATCTAAGGGAAAATGCTCATAATGAAGTCAGCTCCATTATGAAAACAGACAACAATTAAAACATCGTACCTGAAGCCCAAGGGCCCATTTTCTCTCAACAGGCAACTGTGGCCTCAATCCAGCTCCTTGATAATCCATATATCCTGGGAAGCGGTTCCCAACAGCTGGAGCAGCAAGTTCACTAGGATGCAACGAGTTATAACCAGTATCCTAATCAGTCATATCAAATAACCAAAGCTAGTGAGCTTCACAAAATTTCGTCTTAAAAATATACAGAGAGATATAATATACCAAGGTACATAACACATTTTGTTCACCAATAATAAACTTCATAAAGTACAATGTCCAGGGAATAAAATAAACTTCAATATTTCCAACACAGGGTATGCTACTGCTGTCTAGTTCACCTAGGACTACAGCTTACAAGCCTGACAGGGTTGTACCATTTATTCATTACATAAACGTCACTTTATAATAAATATAAACTAATGAAACCTAAAACAGGTGAGGCGAGGACAAACTCACCATACTCTCTTGGAACTCAGCGCCAAGATAGCCACTTGAAACGCGGAATCGATTGTCCAGTAGCAAATAATATGCTACAGTACCCTGAAATGCATGGAACGAAGTAAGAAAGAATGTGGCAGATATGCAGCAAAAGAATAAAGAGTGCATACCTCATTCTGTATCCTGTTGCGAAGAGATTCAACCAACTGATTCCTATCAAATCCCATATTAACCACTTCCTGAAGAATTTCCTCATCAATCTACAAAACCGTAATACTGGTTAAAATTAGTTGTTGGCACAGGTCATACTTTTCCAATAATTAAAACTAAATCAACCACAAAACTTGTGTTCCAAGCATACATATACATAGCAAACAACAAGTTGCAGAGGGAAATTGAAAGAATCATGTAACTTTGCCCTCAAATTTATTAAAGTAGCACAAACTGTCAAATTATATGCCAAAAAAATGCAAACATAACAAAATAATGCATAGAGAATAAGCATAAAACCTTTTTGGCTTGTTGTGAAGTATCAGGTGGTGGCACTGCCAAATAACGAGGGAGATGAGCCTGGAACCATGGGTGTTGACGGATCTCAGGTATAGTCACCCTTTTCATAGGATCAACCACGAGCATCCTCGGTATCAGATCTCTAGCACCAGGTGATAGATGACTAGGAAGAGTGTATATCCCGCCCTAAAAGAAATAAGAGGCAACATTGGGAAGCAAAAGAAGAAATGTATGTAGTGTATCTTTGAGAACTAATATATAGCATTCATTATGTTGGGTTTATAAATCAGTACAGTGCAGGCTCACATTTTAAGCTAATAAAAGCACTCAGAAGAGAAGTGGCAAAGGAAACACCAGAGAACTCCACGTCATCCTCTCTCCCAATCAAAAAGTGAAATAACTTAATATAAACTTCCCCAGGCAGTGATATCAGACACTGCACTGATGTTACCGATAACAACCTGACACTGACACATATTACTTCTAGATTCTGCTACAGAAATGATCACTGAAGGAACCAAAAATGATAATCGAAGCTTAAAAAGATACAATGAATATTGAGCTCAAACATACAAGTTTATCTGACCAAGACATAACTCTTCTTCATCACAATAACAATACCAGGCTCAAAACCCATGAAGAAAATAATTTGACAGGACAGGAACATTCTAAGGAATCCAACCTGAAAGACATAGGATTAAAGACAGGCCAGCAATACCTTAATTTTCTTGAAAAGGTTTGGAATGTTTTCATCATCAAAAGGAAGAGTACCACAAAGAAGAGCGTATAAAATTACACCACAGCTCCAAACATCTACTTCAGGCCCAGCATAATGTTTTCCAGAGATTACCTGGGGGGGGGGGAAGCAGAGTACAACAACAAAATATGAATCACCAAAAGAAACCAAATATGCATCACAAAATTCTCTCTAAATAACAACAGCATCCATTTATTTGCAATCAAAAGAATTCCAACCTCAGGAGCAGCATAGTTTGGGCTTCCACAACTTGTCTTAAGGAAATGACCATCAACCATGACATTGCTCAGGCCAAAATCTGCTATCTTGACATTGCATTTGGAGTCCAACAGCAAATTCTCAGGCTTCAAGTCTCTGTGAGCCACCATATTCCTGTGACAGTACTCCACACCAGAGATTATCTGCTTCCAAACAGAAATTTAGCTTAAATGATGATAAGCACAAGTTGCTGAAATACAAAAATTTGCACTTAATCCTACCTGCTGAAAAAAATTACGAGCTTCATCTTCTTGCAGCCTCCCCTTTTCTACTATGTAGTCAAAGAGCTCTCCAGATTTTACATACTCCATCACAACAAATATGTCTACCGGGGTTTCTATGACTTCATAAAGTCGTATGATGTGAGGATGCATGAACAATCTTAAAATTTTGATTTCTCTTCTGACTGTGACAAGTTTGAAGGGAGGGAAAATGGAAATTAATATTCAATCAACAGAAAGCAACAATAGCAAACATGCAGAATTTGAAAGCTAACAAATACTTTAAAAAAAAAATCAGTTGTATTTCTCCCCAACCTCCATACCATAAGAAGAATAATGGAATCAGATCTTAGAAAATACCTTAAATTTTTCAACCTATAAACCAGAACCTTCCAACGTAAATTATAAACTTGAAACCAAATCCTCAAATTGATATAAAGATTTCAAGAAAACTTGAAAGCAGGCCACAAACCTTTTTCTTCCATTTCCATGTTCTTTATCTTACGTTTGTTGAGGATCTTAATGGCAACTTTGTGACCTGTCAAAACATGCTCTGCAATTTTCACCTTCCCAAAGGATCCAATACCAAGTGTTTTCCCCAATTTATAATTTGATAGAAACATGTCCCCACCAGTACCACCACGACCAGTTGATCCATCCATTTTCAGATCTGGATACATTATTTCAGAAGAAACGTCATGAAAATTGTATGCATAAAAGTGTATATACAAACATAATATAGCCAATCTTCCCTTATCAGAAAGCAGCATCCCATATTGTATTGCAACAAAAATGGTCACAAGATGCAGCAAGCGTCTTCAAGCTTTTCACACAATACTAGTGCAACTAAACTAGGTGTCAACGCTGCAACTAAACTAGGTGCCGAGGCAATTAAGTGTCTCAGATACGGAAGTCTCTAAAGCTATTAATATTAACCACCATACAATGGGAACATCATTAAGAATGATATACAATGCATTTTGGAAAAGATGTTTTCATAAAAAGGATAATTTTTTTATAAAAAAAATAAAGGACAACCTAAGTTGTAATTAAAGATAATAAGATTGTGATTTTCAATTCAAGCCAGTTTAGTTCATAACAAATATTGTGATGTAAGATGAGACTCAACAATGTTTAGGTTTTCTCCCAAATTCATGCTTAGCAATAAAAGAGTAAGCAATGTAGCAGCAAAATAGCATTCTTTCTTTCCTTTTCATCGATATTGCACATATTGACAGATCTCAAACTTATAAGGTCCCTTTCCTGAAGGGCTTGAAAATAACACTAGATGTATAGGTAGTAGATAAAGTTACATATAATTTTCCTCAGGAAGATACTGATCACCCAACTGTAACAACGTTTTATTATTTTCTTTTCTCACTAAAACCAATTAGAACCATGAGCAAGAACTACCAATGTCAAATGTTCTCAGCTACCACTTGACACAGACTGACTATGCTTATTTCTATATCCGACTTGACAATTAAATGAAATTCAGTTAAATTTATTGGAATAGAAAAGTATTTCACACATCATGACTACAATCGAGTTACTGAGATTTCTCGAGAGAATTCTGAGGCTTAAATAAGACCAAGCTCCAAAATGATGCCAAGTCATTTACAAGTTCGGAAACACAAGTGCGAAGAGTCTAAAAGCAATTAATGGAGAACAAAATCATATTAGAGGAAGTAACATAAATGTTCTTGGTTTGAATGGTATCTTTAACTAATGAAGAGAAATCGTTTGACCATATTTTCTACCGGAGCCCTTCCCTATCACCGTGAAGCTGAATCCGGATCACCCAAAACTAGAACACAATGCTCCAATTGGAACGCTTAATTGTGTATTGAACAATGCAGGAAAAAAGGATAGCAGTAAAGGTTCAATTCAACGACAACAAGAATGCATTTTCAAAATCGATCCAAGAACCCCAAAATGTTACCGCCGATTAATCCGTAGACGGAGAGAAGAAAACTTTTAGGATTTCGGACGAAGACTCGAACTCGAAGCAACTATCCTGTTACGACCCTGAGATTGATGTCCCTCTGCAGTAACTAGTCATCGGGAATTGAGGATCATGACGAATAATAATAGACCATCGTGTTCTCCTTCGATACTTACGCGATGAGCGCAGGGCTGCTAAGCTAAGATGCTCCGAGGAAGAAAAAAAGGCCAAAAAAAACTAAAACGACGCGTTTTAGGGTTTCCAGAAGGCTGAGAGATTATTTACATCTTCGACAAGCGCGAGCGGGCAAGCGCTAGCGTACGGACTACGGAGTAATACTAAAGGTATGTTTGGTTGGAGGTTTTTGGGGTGGGGAGAAATAATTTGGCACACAATGACTAAAATACCCACGCCCATGTTTTAATATTCCCCATTTGCTCAGAAGTAAATATGTATTGTAACGATGTGTTTGGCACTGTTTAGGAGGAGTTCATGGCGCCTAAGTATCTTAAGAAATTAGTCACTCACCATTCAAGTGGAAGGATGTTCTTAGCAACTAAAAAATAGGCATTACTCCTCGCATCGCCCCGATTGCGTCTCTGCTGGCCTACATGCTCACCGTCATCGTCATCCAGAGAACCCCCGCTCCAGCCAGCGCCTCTGACTCCACCGTTCTCATCCCGTGGATTATTATTTTTTAGTAATTTTTTAAATCTGTTTCGATAAGTTTGGCCGTCTAGGTTTAATAGCAAAATCTGTAGGAAGATAAAATAGCAAGCAGCAGTGAAGAAGAAGAGGGATGAACACGTTCGAAGCTTCTGTAATTGGTTAACCTTTGAGTATTAGATATTGAATTTTTATCCAATAGAAAAATAGCCAAAAAATGCGGGAGGCGGAGCATGTTGCCAAAATTTTTTAGCAAAAATGACAGAAGAATAATTATTGAGGGGGTGTTTGTAAACAGTAAAAATACTTTTCAAAAATATTTTTTTCGAATCGAAATAAATTCATCTATATATTTACTTCGTATATTATAAAATTACTTTTAAAACCATAATTTAGTATTTATTCAAACATCCTCTGAATTTCAAAAAATAACAGGCAGGTAACTAAACTAGAGCTTGCAAATTTAGTGTAATAACCACGCTACCTTTTATTTTTTTGGGGGGAAAAAAACTAACACTTTCATCGACTGACCAGTCATTAGAGTTTTGGTAACCGTGACAGCCGCATAGAGTATAGGTGGGCCACAAGTTGATGATCAGTAACTGGAGCTCTGGCAACCTGGAACTATTCTTTTGGGGATTTTCACAACTTCAGTATTTGCCAGCTGCTAGAGCTCTGGCGACCAGTGATCAGCTAACTGCTGAAACTTTGGTGATGGTGGCTCACCTGAGCTCCAATAGCCACCTCCCATACCAGAGCTTCCAGCATGTGAGGTGCTTAGTTTTTTTTTTAAAATAAAGAGTAATATGATCAATTTAGCAAATTTGTAAATTCTAATTTAGTTACTTATACCCAAATTAAAATTTTACTTATTTAAGTGATTATTTGGGAATTTTGAAATTCAAAAAATTATTTTTCTGTCATTTTTTCAAATTTTTATGAGATCATTAAAAATTAAAATACATCTCTTTTCCTCTCCTTTCTTGTCTTGCAATCCTTCATCCCCTTCACTAACCATCATCTGCCAAACAACTCCTTAATTATTACCCTCAAGTTTGCTTGGGAGTAGACTCGATAATATAGGTTGAGTTAAAAAATCCAGCCCGTCAGCACACCAAAAATGACAGATTTGGGTTAGTAAAATGCCAACCCATTAAGGTGCGGCTACTTTAGCATGCACTGCTTCTAGCCCACTCCACTCACGAACTTGCTGTATCTGCACCACCAATCCATATTATGAACTCTCCTTAGGAGGGCAAAAAATAGTTTTCTTAAAAAAAAGCGCGTGAATAAATCGAGATAGATAGGGTTTTTTTCTTTTTTTTCCCGGCAGCGCGAGATGGATGGTTGTTACATACGATACTTTGATGTTAGTTTATTTTAATTCATACCGGCATGAGTAATCAAAAAGTTGACTTGTTTAGTACGATAATTAAATCGTATTTGCCAAAGAAAACATCCCCGGTTCCATCCCCTATCCAGCAACCATCAAAGGCAAAAAGAAAAGCCTAATTCGGAACAAGAGATGTTTAACCAGGAAAATTATATAATTATAAAAACAAATTTCTAATGAAAATGCAATAAATTCATTGATAAATGAATGATTTCGTATAAATAATTATATGGTCTTATTGAATTATATGCTTGTTTATTATCATTATGATTAAAAAATATTTTTATTTCTTTGAAGACCTAGATTAAGGATTTAGATTTTAGACAAGTTTTTTACGGAACTTCAGACAAAGTTAAATAGATGATAAGTAGAAGGAGGAAGCCGGAGATGAAAAGAAAATACTACCTCCGGTTCTTGATATAAGATTTTGTTTGAATTTTATTTTGGTGTTAAATATAAAATCCTAATATATTTTGTCTCTCATATTTATGTATTTTTTCTAAAGTAATCATTCTAATAATGGTAATTCTAGCCAATATACTTTATTAGCAAATATATTTTAAGAAAGACAATACATATTTATTACAAATAACTAACTTAACTTCTTTTTTTAATTTTCTCAAATTAGTCAATTAGTTCTTATAATTAGGATAGGAGGTAATACATTAATGGTTAAACTTGTGTTATAAAAACGGGGTGCCAATATTTTTTTAATTTAAATATAATTTTTGGCCGTAGAACATAAATTGGTTTTTTATTTTGAAAGAAATTGAATAATTGGGCAAGGGGATAGATAGGCGGACAGGGAGTAGTAGGGTTTGAGGGAAGAGGTATAAAGGGGCGCGAAAGAGAGGGAATGAGAACTACGGGCGCCTGAGGCCGAGCGCTTCCCTCTTGAGGAAGGGGTGGCGTGGTATTCCACGGGAAAAGGTTATACAGTGTGGCGCACCCTGTTGCGGTGCGTAGGCGCATATCAATTCATTCTCATGAAGGGGCTTCATGGCCGCTTTTCTGCTCTAGTTCATAGCAGTTCAAGCGAGATGTTTGCCCTACATCTCTCTCTTCTTTCTCTGTCTTTACATTCACACATTTCACTTTTAGACGCGTCGTTGAAATTGAATTATTTTGAATAGATTAAGATGAATTGGCATTATGATTCTGAAACTCAATATGCTAACTTCAGATGATAATCTTGTTTCAATTTTCGATTAGAACTGTTAGGTCACAAACATTAAAGGTCTCTGAAACGGTAAAAGATACTTGTTCAGCTTCTTTCCCCTGTGATTTAGGAGGCCATTGCTTCGACTTAAAAAAGCATTTTGTATGTCTTAGTTTTAACGAGACATCGATCTTGGTATGATCACTAGAGTCCTTGTGGTGATTGCAAACTCGGTGGCCCTGTTGGTGAGTAGGAGAGATTAAGAAGGTAAGATAGTTAATAATCCTAAACTAAGAAGTAAGCCATTCTTTCTTAAATTACACCATATTGGAAAAAGGGCAATGTACATGTCAGGGTTGCTCCTCATATAAACAGATGCTGAAACAGTTAACTCCTGTAAGTGAATAGGGTCGGGAGGGAGTATCGGACATTACAATGGTTCAGATGACCCCGAGTCAGTGAGTGAGTCCACCCATGGCTAAAATGCTGGGCAATGCTTGCTTAACTAATTTCCTTGAAATTCCATCATTTATCTGCAGCAGGCATTGATTTATAAGTAGTACTCATCATCTTTGCATAAAGTAACCGATTGTTTGTTTACTTTTAAGCAGTAGTGGAAGGGCAAAATTATGTGTCTTATTTACTGATAATGCCACAAGCACGATCAAATGATCAAGTAATGACGCAACCACTGTTTTTCGAATCAACTGAATCAAATGTAAAACTAGTTTCTAGTTATGTGTCTTATCCGTGAAATAAGCCCTTTTTGATACAATAACCAGCTAGTTATGCAATGGTAGGACAGATGCCAAACTGTTTAGTTACCTTCCTAGCCTTGATTTGCCGGTTGCAGGGCGTGTGCTTTCATTGCCAAGTCTTTTGCGGCCCTATAATATTATTTGTCAGAAGAAATTAAAATGCAATCTGATGCAAACAGAACGATAGGGTTGCAAGTGGAACCTTAAAGATTTTGCACGATAAAAATTATTTGTTTGCAGTTGCCGGAGGGTTTCTAATTTACCTGAGCACTTGTCGTGCCGGCTGGCGTTTCCGTAGAATCAATTGAGAAATTAGAACTTGTATCAGATGCATTAGTGTGAGCGTGATGGCTTGTGTTGTCCTTATATTGTCTTTCTGCGACATCGATCATATGTCTGGTTAAATCATATGTGCCTTTTGCAAAGGTTGGATCCAGTGCGCTAATTTTGCTTTTTGAACCATCTGATAATGTGGATGAAACCTCTGGTTTTCTCCTTTTTGCCCATGCAAAGCCACTAGCACCTGAGGCTGGTGCTGGCCCTGTTAATATACTAAAGCCATGGGGTACGCCATTGATCTGGTAGGTCTCTGACACTGCTTCCGTTGGAAGCTTTGATGGCTCCTTCTGCTGCATAGCTCCTCCTTTACCCTTGTTAACATTTGGTTTAACATCGTCTTTAACAGCTTGTTGAGAATTGTTCTGCTTTTCCTGCACAAATCAGGATACAGAAGTAAATAAAAGCCGCAGTCATCTTCAAGAAATGTAGGATTGTGCACTGAGAAAGATCGAGTACATCAGTTGAAAGTGGGTTACTGAAATTGTTTGGTTCTTGTAGAACTTTACGGACTCGTCTTTGCTTTCTTGCTGTCGCAGACTCATGCACTTTACCTCCTGTCTTTTTCCTGAGATAACGGAGATCCACCTTAGTTGCAGAAATTGGAATTCAAGTGCTCGGTTTTATTGGAAGGCATAACCAGACCAACTACAGTATCTAGTTTAAGAGCTGGCCTCAGTTACTCAAACTTGGACGTAATTAATGGTTCAATGGGCAGCATAACCGTAACAGCTAATGATTATGAAAACAGAATGATGATGTTTTCTTTGTGTAAGGCTTTTTTTTTTTTACTCCAATGGCTCTTTTTCACCGTCGGGCTCTGATATTGAGTGTTAACAACGTGGTTTTGGTGGAAGCAGGAAGTGGTTTTGGTGACTTTTAACATGAAACCAAATACACTCAAAGCTAAATAGAGCCCTGACAATGATGCAACATATAAGTTTCATTCCATTATCACAACAAACGAGAACAAATGCATGGAAAGACGCAAAACAGGGGAGAAGACAAGTAGAAAAATAGTCATGTCCATGACAAATTCTGAAAAGACGAGACCATTTACCTGCGAACCTCTTCCCGATTTTTAGCATCCATTTCTTTGTTGGGTGGATATTTTGGCAGGCTTGAGGGATCACAAGCAAGCGGCTTGGTGTTGAAATACTGTTAATCGGTATGACGTGGGACATAGAATCAGAAATTTAGCTTAATTATATGCATTTGATCAAAATCAAGCAAAATCACAATAAAATAGCATTATCAAAATAAAAATTTCAATCAATGCTAATGGAGCAACAAGTTTAAGAAGTTATCATCTGAAAACCAACATATTCCAGACTCCGGTATCAAAATAAGAAATCAGGAGGTAAGAAGATGCATCTCCAAAATAAAGATTATTCTGAGTGGAGGAATATCCAATATAGATATTAAAATTTGGCAGGATCTACCTCAGACATCAGAGCAGAAGAAGCAGTCCCACGCTCATGGGGATCAATGGATAGTAGAGTCTTCATTAGGGCTAGAGCAGTTTCTGGGATATCTTGAAACCTCTCCGAAAAAGAGTTTTCGTAAGCAATCTGAGGTTTAAACATTGTTGCGTGAGGAAGCTTGCACTTTTTCCAGAATTCATCAGGTGGTGAACCGCAAAGCTTAAAAACTTTATGCAATTGTTCAACCTGTAGGTTCAAGACGAACATCACATTTAACTGTTTTCAAATTTAAATTTTAGATTTAATCTAATATATTCACTGACATGAGTTGATCCTGTTTTGTAAGGTTTAAGAAGTGTTTTTCCACTCAAAATAATGAAGCAATCTCAGGCTAAGTACAGGAGTTCATTCACTCTTTCTATTTACTTTGTTTTGTTTAGTTATCAGCGAAGTGCTTCGGAAGCTTCTGACAATTATGAAGACAGACAGAGTTTGAACAAAATTTTGTTTGAACAACAACGTGAAATTTTATTTATAAGGATTACCTCAGTTCTCCCCTTGAGGATAGGTTTTCCCAGAAAAAGTTCCCCAAATACACAACCCACACTCCATAGATCCACTGATAATCCATAGTTGGTTGATCCCATCAAGAGTTCAGGAGGACGATACCATAGAGTCACTACGCGACTGGTCAAAGGATGCTTGTTACCTGAGCTAATTGTATTTGCCAATCCAAAATCGCCAATCTTGAGTATACCATCATTATTTACTAATATATTGGATACTTTAATGTCTCGATGGATGATACCACGTAGATGACAGTGCTCAACTCCACTCAGTAGTTGTCTCATGTAACATTTCACCTGTTGTACGAAATTAAGAAAAAATGCAAATTATAACCAATAAGAGACCTTACCCCAGATATTTCACAAGAATAATAATGATAAATCAAGGAAACGAGTGTAAGGAGGATTTTCGCTTTCTGCATATTCAGATACGAAGGCGCTAATTGTAAGTTTGGGTCGGACCTAGTAATCAGACTAGTTCATTTCCAGACACAAAAATTAAGATGGCAGAGAAACACATTCAGATCTATCAAAGGACAAGAGGATGCATAATGTTTCATTCCATGAAGCCACAAGCTTATCAAGAATGAGATGCTGACAAACCTGTGAATCCTTGAACGTTATGTCAGGACATGATACTAGTCCCGCAAGATCATGCTCCATATATTCAAACACAAGGTATAAACTACTTGATAGTCGGGATGTAATTACACCCTCCAGTTTCATAATGTTTGGATGGTCAAGCCTGCGAAGAATTGTAATTTCTCTCGACATGAACCTCACGCTGTCAGGCTGAAAATTGTCAAACCGAACCTTCTTCAGGGCAAACATCCTCCCAGTTTCAACTTCACGTGCTCGGAACACACTGCTATATGTACCTTGTCCAATCTATAGATAAAAACATATTGAAAAGAATGATCAGAAAATGAAATCCGGGGACTAGATTATGACAATACGGCCCAGCAACGATAATAATCGCAAACAAAAAAAAAAGATATTTCCTAGGGTGAGAATTTGAAGACACCACGCTTAGCTTGCTCAAACCAATTTCCTTGCAAGCATGTTACAATTTCATAGGCTGTTAACGACAAATTGTCCTAGTAACAGTGCTGCGTGCCATGCTTAGATGAGATCTCAAACTCGAACTTGGCAAAAAATATTCTTTCGGATCCAGACTGACAATTCTTTAATATTCTAAAATAACTTCATATGATGTTAGTTTAGTTTGAAAATACACCAATGCAATCCTTATTATAATCTTATCACAGTTGTACTGCCTTTGCCAAGCAATACAATTCTAAGCTTTATTACCTTGTCTATAGCCATTTCCCAATAATCCTTAAGCAATACCATTTTATTGCATGGACTCAACATCACTTTGTCATAGTAGCTAAGCAAGTATTCTTTCATTACTGCAGAGTTTACAAGAAACAAATTTTTAAGGAGCTATGGAAGTTGTAGGTGAATTAACTAATCTTGATTTCACTCCACTTGTATGATGATCCTACTTCGTCTTGCCTTAATTAGTAACCCCATACCTAAACCTAGTTTAGCATAAAAGTTGACAAAAACATGAATCACAGTGGAAGTGCGACATGCATAGTGATTAGGATGCCCCATTTCCTTAATACGCACTATTTTTTCAAAGCGTGTGCCGCTGCCATTGTACCTAACCAACAGAATGCCTAGCAAGGCTACATTCAGCATTAGGATGGCCTTCTTCAACTTTAAAACAATTATCGTCGTCGTCGTCTTTTTTGTTGTTGTTGTTATTGTAAATTACTGGAACCTTTCCATTTATTGAGGAAAAACTGAATATTCAAAAGACAAAAGTGAATTAAAGTCAGTCCTGTAATAACAAAGACGAGTATGAGCTTTCCTGCCTTCTCTAATTTTTCAAAAGAATCTGCTCTGAGGGGCACCCATCCATGAATAGCTTCGCCCGCAGCAGCTGTGAGCCAAGGGGGCCATCCAGCCGCATTCAGCTCCGCTTCCACCAACCGATGTGAAAGCCCCATCTTGAAACTGAAATTCCCGCTTCCTTTGGAGCTATCCTTCCCGGACTTCTTCCCATCTCGATTGCAATCCTCCGATTTTTGATCCCCTTTACCGGCAGAAGCCAAGGTCCCCGATCGGGATTTGGACGGAGGTTCCACAATAGCGGACCCATTGTTGGTACGCACCTTCGAGCGCAAGGGTGAATCTCCGGCAACCAAATTTTTGGAGTTAATGCAACCCATTTACCTCCAAATCCCGCCAGAATCGACCAAGACTCAATAAACGCGATCGATCAATTCAATTCGGGATATGGAAGAAGGTAGGGGCATCGGCCCTACATGAGTTCAAATGTGGTTGCATCACCTCCGAAAATGGTCGTCATTGAGAATGAGATGAACCCAGAAACGGGTACATTGGGAATCCCCCCTTCCCCCAACCCTTTCTGTCTCGTCTTCGATCCTTTTCTGTCCCAATTAGGCTTGCGAGGTCTGCGGGGGATGGACGATATTCGATTTCAGGGAGTTGGTGGTGTCCGAAAGCAGAGGAAGAGAAATTCGCGGGTCCGAATTGCTTCATAATTTTGGGGTTTCTTGGAATTTTGAAAGAAAGGAGAAGAAAAGGTGTAATGTAACCGTTTGGAGGCTCTGTGATCGTTTTCCGTTAGTTGAATAGAGACATCGATTAACAGGGGCAAGTACCATGGTGGTCGTGGGGGGATGCCATTGCCAGCCATCTTCTTGGTGGCGCGCCACTCTCCGTCCTATTCAGCGGGAAACATTAGAATTGAATTGCGACAGACACTGTTTAGTTTTGAACTTTTTGATTATCACCAGTGTCGCGTATCAACATTTATCACTGTTCAGCATGGATGTAATTAATATAAATAATTTTTTTTGGATATATTTTCTTTTTCCCCCTAGAAGTGGGATTTTTTTTTACTTTATCTGTGCAGAAAAAAAAAATTAGACACTATTTGTAGTTGATCAATGTTTTATTGATATAATTTTAATAAAAAAATATGTTCGGCATAAAATTATATTCCATCGTTGTTGTCTAATTGAATTTTTAGTCTATTTTTATTGGAAGAGGGGCACATAATTTCTCTTATATGCAAGAGAAAGGGTTAATATAATTTTTAGCCCCTTAAGTTTGTTTTCATTTTGGTTATGGTCCCTCAAATTTCAAATTATAGGTTTTGGTCTCTCTAGAGACAAAATGGTCAAGTTTTTATTGGATTACAAGTACTAATATTTTAAATAAAAAGAAACTTGGAGACCAAAATCTATGATTTAAAATTTGAGAAACCAAGACCAAAGTGAGGATAAATTTGAAGAACCAAAGTTTGTACCAACCCCAAAAAAAACTAAACTTACACAAAAAGAATACTCCTCTGATCTTTAATATAAGACCATTTTAACTAATTTGATTAGATTAAGGAAGTTAGGTAAGTTAATTATAAAAAAAGTGATACATTTTTCCTAAAACACCGTAATCATCTTTTTTAATACCCCCTCTCCTTCTTCTATTTGATTATGGTTGAGGAAATATCTATAGGGGTAATTTAGAGAAAATTGATAAATATGAGAAATAAATCTTATAGTTAGGACCACAACCAACTCAAAAATTAGTTTCTATATTAAGGAGTGGAGGACTAACAACAACAAGGGTGATATGATGGATTCTACCATTGAAAATCTCAAACATGGTCTTTAGGGTCTGTTTGGTTTGAGGGGAGGGAGGGGTAAGGGAGGGGAGGGGAGGGAGGGGTAAGGGAGGGGAGGGAGGTTTCATCCTTACCTTGTTTGGTTTGATTAAAAAGGAAGGGAGGGAAGGATATTTAATGATCCCTTGTTTGGTTCAAGAAGGGGAGGGGAGGGATAGTAATAATCAATTTACCATTTTACCCTTACATATTAGTTTATGTTTTTTATTGATATATTATATAAATTAATTTACATCTTAATTTAAATCATATAATTTAATAAAAATTCAGTCTTATCATATTAATATGTGTATTAAAAAATTGGTACAGTAATTTTTTATTCTAATTAATATAATAATATTTTAAAATAATCAAATTAACAAATTTTATATGCTCTAAGAAAAATGAAATTTTATTCTCTTTAGGCTATCTTTTTTTCCAGCTTTAAAATATATTTAATAAATAATATATTTATAAAAAAAATTAATTTTATAATATTATAATTTTTTATTTAAACAATTTTTTATAATATATTTTTAATTATAATAATGTATATATTTCTTATTTTTTACTTAGGATAATATATTTTTTATTTGAAATAAATATTATAATAATATATTTTATGGGTAGAAGTGGAATATTAAAAAAACTATGAGAGCATAATGGTCCAAAAATTTAACTCCCCTTCAAAAACCCCCAATTTGAAGGGGAGCCAAAATGGGGAGGGGAGAGGAGGGGAGGAGAGGGGACATTTTAGCTCCTCTCCCCTCCAAAATTTTTAACCAAATGAGGGGAGGGGCTCATTTGCCCTCCCCTCCCCTCCCTCCAACCAAACACACCCTAACACGAAAGAGAAATCACTCACGAAAAACAAGGCTGAGATGAGATGAGATGAGATGTCTAAATCACGAGATTTATCCCATACCTAAAATTGAGTTCTCAGCTTGCATTGAAAAACGATGATACGCAACACTACGTATGTGTCCAAGAAATAGCTATAAGAACCAAATTTAGCTCCTTTGCTAATGAAATTGAACTATACATCATAGAAATATAAAAATCAACTGTTCAAATATTTGCAAGCATATGGATAATTCATTACAATGAACTACCAAGTACGAGGATATAAATAAAATACATACATTGAAGAACAGCACCCTCTGAAAAGCAAGTTGCAAGAGGTTTGAAAGCTTACAAGGTAACAATAAGCCAAAGAATTCTGTGAACTTTCCATGTGAATCCAGCTTTCCAATTTTTCTTTGTGCTCAACTTTCAAGGAGAATTAGACAGTACCAGGAACAGCCACAAAGTCTATAATTACGGGGAGACAATAGATAAGTAATCTTCATACATGTGATTGTGAACATGGTATACAGAAAGTGTTACATACAGAGAACCTAAGTGAGTTAACCAGAAAGTTGCACAACTGATCTTTGACACCAGACTATACTATGATTTGCTCCTCTTTCAAGCGTAATGCGACTGGTCTTTGGTCATTATTTCCAAAATCCATATCTTTAAGCAGAGGATGCTTCTCAGGCACCACTCTCTGTGGTTTGACGAGCACTGAATTGCTATTAGCTGTGTTGTGGCTGCTGGTTTTAGCAGCAGGAACATCATGGTTATGTTTTCCCTCATAGGTAGTTATGACAGCTTTGGGGTCTGTTGAAGCCCTCTCAACATGCTTACGCACATTGCATCCTGCACTGGTGCATTTGTAATAACTCCTGTTCATAGAATTTATGCAGCATAAACAACATAATTAGATTTACCCCAAAAAAATTTGAAAAAAAAAAAAAGATTGTCTCGTATGAAACAGAGAAAAAAGAATGTAAATTATTCGGATAAGGCCACTCAAGTGCTCTCCTTACAGGGTTATTAAACTCATTATCAGAAAGTGGCAAAAGGAATCCCAAAATTAATAAACGGGACTTTTAAGCGGATTAAGGGCAACATATATGCAGAGAAGCCAAAAGCATGAAGAATGGACTTGCAACAAAAAATGTCAAGAAGGTGAATGACTTTAGCCCAGTAACTCTTAAAAACTATGTAGTTGATTAGGGGGTAGCGAATTAAAAATTTCATGAAAGATGATAACCTTAAGGATTCAATCACTTCATTACGATATATAATTCCGAATGCCCTATTTACTCTTTTTTACGATTCTTTACCCCCCTTCGTTCACATTGGGAAGGTTTGAACTCAAGTTACTACCAACACCTCACCCTATCATCCCAGCTAATCTAACCCCAAGTGGCTACATATTTACTCTTCTTTATCAGCCAAAACCTAAGCTTCCACTTCAAATGTACAAAGACAATCAAGATTTAAGACTAAATTAACAAGAAAAACTTCCCGGGCAAGGAAGCTGTATGTCAGGATTGGTGTCATTAAGAATCGGAAAAGAATTCCAATCAAGCACTTCTGCTTCTGTCCCTGAGCTTAAGCTAATTAAGACCAGAAAATCAATGAAGGAATAATATTGTATACCAAATATCTAAATTTCCCGGTTCTAGTTTATGATGTTGTAATTGAATCATTTTCAAAAATGCATGTTGGCTGCAAGAGAGTTTCATAGATGTTGCAATTTGTAACATGAAAGCCGGTGCCAGAGGTCATATTGCTACTTAACATAGACAGACTGAGTTCTGTATCAGAAAACAAACCCAAAACTTATTGTACCTCAATAATGCTGATTCACCTTATCCAAAAACAGTTCATTTTTATGTCACTTAACCATTCTGTAATGTTTCTGAAGTTGACCTTATTAGAAGATACTGTAATGAACAAAAGGTTCCCGTCTTTTTTCCCCCACTTATGAACAAGGTTCCTGTATGTTTTATTAACTTTAGAGGCTACACTTAGAGAACATGAAATCACTCCTCCCTTAGTATGATTTCAACATTGTAACTCGGTAGAATCATTTCTTTCTTTATTTAATTGTAACTCGTTAGAATCATTTCTTTCTTTATTTATTGAGAAGATAGGAATCAACAGGTCAAGTGACCACCTTGGATAGGGATTTCCCTTTACTACTTTTTGCCCGTACTTGCGCCACCTGTAGCCATCATCCAGAAGATCAACTTCACTTCTTGTTTGCACAATGATTTTGGGCTCTGTGACAGTCTTGTGAGACATAGGTGCTTCAGAAGCCCCAAGATCAGTGTTTCTGCAAAATTCAGTTTATATTATGAATTGGCAAAATGGTTGGCAAAAAAAAAAAAAAAGCAAAATGTGTATCTACATGATATAGGATTAAAAACGTGAAACTTGCCTTTTCTTGGGATTTGGCTCACTGACATCCCCCTCCTCTTCCCTTAAATCAGGATCACCCCCTTCCTCACTCTCACTTGATCCAGTTAACTGCCTGTGAGCACCTTGATTGGATGAGGGATCACTTTCTGGCACTGAATGATCAGGCATGCTTTCACCAAGCTTGTTTAAATTTCCCGCCCAACCTTGTGTAGTCGAGTCAGACTGAACTTGAACACTTGTATTTCCATTTAAATCAGAATTATCTTTGACACGCTTGTTTGGCTGAGGCAGTTCATGATTATGCTGACCTTTATAGATAATTTCAGTTATGTGACCATCAGGGGCACGCTCAACCTTTTTTTTTACTGGGCAATTCAGATGCGTACACTTGTAGTAGCTCCGTGGGTACTCACTTCCTTTGACCTGCTTCTGCCCATACTTACGCCAATTGTAGCCATCATCTGCAGGTTTATCAATGGCTAAGGAAGGAAGTTGAAATTTCTTATCAGTGTGAGAAACATCTGAAGTCTCCATTTGAGCACTTCTAGAATCTGATGCAGATGGTGCCACTTGCTGGTCTGAAGCTTCACTTGGAACAAAAGATGGCTGCTGTGCCAATGGTTCACCAGGAGCTGTTACAGCAGATTGTTGATGATCACCTTGCATGTGCATATGAGATTGCACCAGGGCAGCTTGAGCTTGAACTTGTGCCAAAGCCTGCTGATGGGATATCCCAAAGGGGCTCTGTAAATGAAGAGACAATAAGACACTCATGAAAATATATCCTTTGTCCTTAGGCCAAAATATGTATATGTGTATGCAAATACCACTGCCCACAAGAAAATACCACATGGATGTGCAACAAAGGGGGAAATGCCCAGTGGCATCACAAACAGACACGACGTCTTATTCATTATCCTGCACATTCACCTATTGTCAATCTACGCAGGACAAACATCTCTTCCATGGAAGGTAATGCCTTATAAGAGCAACTTTGCGACCCAACTATGTTTCACCCAGAAAATAACTCCAAAAAAAAAATCGCAGGAGGAAGACAGATCTGAACTAGCATGTTTGCTTATAAAATTCAACATGATAAATGAGAAGTAGATATAGTTCAAAGATAAGCAATTCCCTTTATTGACCCACGAATCCTTAAATTTTTACATTTTCTTGTCGTTTTCAAGCAACGTAGATGTTAACAGACAAATTGCTATCATGAACTTTTCGTCTTCAAATATTTGTTGCGAAAGTAAGCATTCGTTAAACTAGCCAGGGAACTAATCACCTCTATCACTTTCTTCAGTTTTACAGCATGTGATTCAACATATAGAACTACAAAACGAGGAAAATTGTAGACTTTTTTTCAGTTTTCAATCAGTGTCAAAACTCAAAGTTACAATTCCTTCGTCACCAGAAGCTAGAATAAGCACAAGGAAAATAAAAATAAAAATAAAATATTTATTTTTTTTGAAGAAAAACAAAATTACAATCCCCTTAATAGGATTAAAGGTTTCTCTAATCAGTTTCTCTTTTACTCTGGAATCTAGATCACATAGTTATTGCGCCATACTATGTCATAAAAGAACTTTATGAATTCAGTGAAACTACTTGGAACAATTAAATAAGATTCCAGAAGATCACTGCTCGACTGTAAATACCATGCTGTTAACTAAAAATGAATATGCTATAGAATAGAACCCCACTTTCAGACTAATAACAATAATATCAAAGAATCCCAGAGCAAACAAACTGCAGTTCGCAATTGCCAAAACTCATCAAATTTCAATTGTCCAAAAACAAATATATTATCCGTCCAATCATGAGCAGCAATGAAAAATCATTTGAACCAGTAACTCAGTTGGCATAGGATGATGCATTTTTTGAGACAAATAGATATCAGGTGCGTCAAAACTAATCAAATTTTAATTTTAAAAAGGAAAAAGAAAAAGAAACGACCATATTTCCAAGCATAAGCATCAATGAACAACCATTTAATTAAAGCAGCAATACAATAGGCGTAGATTGATGCAGGTTTTCTTTTATATATATAGAAATGAGCTGCCAAGTTCATAAACAGAATCCCATAAATGTTAACCCGAAATTCAAGGGAAAAGAAGCTCGACTACAAAAAGTCAACCCATTCAATTACCTGCGGCGAAAAGAAGCCCGGTGAATTGAGCAGTCCGGAAGGGCTTAACCCAGGTGGAACGGTAAACATTGGTGAACGAGCAATAACCAGATTCATGGGTCTACTCTGCTTGAAAGCCGAATTCTTCTGGGCCCCATCCTCAGCAGTAGCTTCTTTGAAGGAATTGTCGGTTGAATTTTCCGGAAAGAAGCTAGGCCTCGCACCTAGAGCAAGCGGAGAAGCCATAGCTCCGGCAAGCAACTGAGAAAACGACCGACAGTCAGAGTCGGGGTAATTATCGGAGAAGAAGCTGGATACGAGGGTCATCGGGCCGGGGCTCGCGCCTGGCCCACCGGAAAAGAAGACCTCCATGGAAGGCCGAGGTGGGAGAGTGATCGTTGGGCGTGGCGGTGGCGCCGTGGCTGATCCGCCGTTCTTCGCGGCCATTGGTTGATAACGACCGTCGTCAGATTTCCGTACTTGGCAGCTAGAAGTGGTGGCGTTGTGGCGCTTTCTTCTTCGTTAATCGCGCAATTGATGGTTTCGTGCAGTCTTGAAACTCAGTGTAAGAAAGTCCACGGAGCAGAAACTGCAATGATTTCTTTCCTCCTCCAATTCTTTGCTGTTCCATTATTGTATGATTATTTCTTTATTATTACTACTATTTAAGATAAAGGCAACTTGCTTGTCTCCCGCCTATTCACCCCCATTTCCCCCGTTTTAGCTTCATTTATTATTTATTTCCTAACATTAATATGTTTTTGTGCATAAAAACTAGTACCAGTGCTCGTTATGTTGATAATATTTTTATGAAATACTATTAAATTTAAACCATTTTTCCAGCAATTAAATTTAAACCATTTAAAGCGATACAAATCCCACCTAACAAACCGAAATAGAGGATTAGAGACATTAAAAAAAAGCATCATTTATGGCCAACATGGCTGATTCTTCTATTTTATTAGTGAAATAAATTTTCATTACAGCAAATTGTAGTATTAATAATAATTTGAATTAACATACGATCTTGTGTCTTCATATGGGTATTATTTATTGGACAAAACTAATTAAAGTTATATATTGAATATACTGTTTCAAAATTAAACCATAACAAGTTCATTGCCAATTCAATAAAATAATAAGAATAGTACTATAATATGTAAATTATAAAACATCAATACACGATTTGTAAATTATAAATACAGTCACTGATTTCTGAAATCCTATAGTATGCGATGAAATGTGTTTAATTATTATACGCATGGAAGAGTAAAAATAAAAACTAAATGACAACATATAAAATAAAAAATATTTATTTAAATTGACATCACTGGGACGCGAGAGACCATAGGCACATTATCGCCCTGAGCGGACCGGCGATGCGGACGTCCAATGAAACTGACCACCCACTCGCGCCGTCTTCTTCCTCCCTTTTAAACTGCCTTTCTTGCTGTTTCTGGCTGCGTTCTCTCACCGGTTTTTTTTTTCTTTTTATTTATGAAATTATTTTTGGAGAATAAAGTCTAAAAGATCAACACTTAACCGAATTAACAGAGAGTATTAATAACTTTTATTGGAACGCATTTTAATGTTTTCATATGATTTTTTTTTTTTTTTTGCCTTTTGAAATGGCAGGATGCTACCAACCAGACTTCGAGAGATTCATTTTAGCGTGTTAGTTCGGAGCAAGTGGGAAAAGCAGCGCACGGATGCGCCTATGATAACCATAAATATGGGGAAGGCCAGAATTAAAGAAAAAGGCCCCTCCAGCGGGTCAAGTGGGCAACAAGTTGAAAAGAGAAAACCCCAACCAAAAAAAAAAAATTAAATTTTAAATTTTTAAATTAATATTAGTCATTATACTTGTAAAGAAAATAATTATACTTAAAAAAATAAACGGCAACATATTTTTATAATAATTCTTGATTTAAAATTTTATAATTATTTTTTTGGGATTTTTTTAAGTTAAAATGTGGGTGCATATTTTTATTCATAATTAATATACCACCTCAGCTAGCCGCGCTGAATTCAGGGGAAGAAGTTTATGCTCAAAGTTCTATTAGAAAAAACGCCCATACTTGATATCCAGTAATATATCCAATATTTTTCTGATGAGAGGATATCGTGCTTGATAAAAATAAATAAAATAACATACAACTCATTGTTCATCATTTATCATTACCATATTTGTTTTATATTTTAAAAATATTATTTCTAAGTCTTGGATACAGGAAGTTTCACACCCAGCTAGCTATTCACCTTTCTATTTATCCTATCAATTCTCATCATGCTCTTAACTCTTGTCATTTTATTTGTAAAACATATAAAAGATTTTTTTTCTTACTTATAAATCACGTTATTAAATTTTTAATATAAATATAGTACTCTATCTTTTATTTATTATTGCGGATATTGTTATTTTATGAAAAATTGTACTATACTTCCTCTTGTCGTATTTATAAGCTTTAAATTCGAAAATGGGTGTAGTCCAACTTATAAGCTTTGATTTGGTGTTTGTCTTAAAATGTAATGTATTTTTTAATTTTATCTTTAATTATTTATTTTCTCGTATTGCCATAATCTCTTGTCACGTTTTCTCACGCATTATCTTTTGTCTTTTTCTCATTTATTATAAAAACACATCTAAAAACAAAATTATATCTCTGATTTATTTATTATATTTAACTAATTTAAACTAATTATTCGTTATCCTCAAACTAGTTATCTGAAGTTTATAATAAGGACCGGAACGAATATATTGAATAGGGATCAAATCTAAAAGTTATCCAATTTTAAGACCAGAAAAGCAATATACTTCTTGAGTTCTCATCACCGTATTACTGGAATGAATGAGAAATAATTAAGAAGATGTAGTTAAGAAGAACATAGAATGTAATAATATTTAATATTCGTATTTTACCTAAGAAATATAATACTCCTACCATTCAAATTCTCATCTGTTAGATAATTAACCCCGCTATATATTTGTCATAACAGGATGCTTTCCGTTTCACCTTAAAGGCGACGAATAAAAAGCGTGTTTCATGGACCCATCAGCAATAAATACTTGAATAGAAAGAGAAGCAGGGAACACAGAGTTGTTATGGAGTCTTCAATACGGCAACAAGTGGCTCAACTAAAGACCAAAGCCAATGTATATATATAGCGGTTGTTACTCATAAAAATAGATTTTTTTTTGCTATAACTTGTAACAATTTTGTATGAGCTTATATTCACGAATACTCTCATGGATGATATAAATTGAAATTAATAAAAAAAAAGGCGCATTATTCATTAGCAATAACTAGTGAATTTGATTTTAAATTGGATTTTAAAAAAAATGTGCTCACTCTCATAAAAATCAATGAAGTGGGAAGTAAGGTGTTGGGGTTGGGAAATCTGACTTTAAGTCAACCGTAAAAGTAGATGTATATACGCATTATTAGACATGACTTCGACCAACAAGCAAGTTGCCACTTGATTGTCTCAGGAAAAATACAAAATTTAGCTGCTTTAATAAGTGATCCGTGATCCTGCTATTTGTTGCTCCTCAATATTAAACAGTCTTGTTTGAACTAATGAAATACTAAAAGATTGTTTAGACTATCTATTTTCAAATTAGAAGTTAAACGTAAATTGTCTAGATTTGTTCTGAACATAACTTGTCAACAACATTATGTGGTCTTCGACTTCTGCCATAAAATTCATTTCCGGGTATAAATTGGTATGAAAATCACCAAACAAACAAATTAAAAAAAATGATGCTCTTCCGATTCTTAATATAGGATCTATTTAACTAACTTGATTAGATTAAAAAATTTAGTTAAGTTAGTTAATTATAAAAAAATGTGACACGTTTTTCTCAAAACACCATAATCATATTTCTTAATACTCTTTCATCCTTTTTTACTTAATTATGGTTGAGGGAGTATCAACAGGGTAATTTAGAAAAAATTGATAAATATAAGAAATAGATCTTATATTTAAGACTAAAATTATCTCAATAATTAAGTCCTGTATTAAGAATTAGAGGAGTGTAACATTAAAGTTAAGATAAGAATCTCGATCGAATGACCATATGGTGTAATTAGTGATGCCATCATAATATGTCTACGAAGGGACTCAATTGCACATATAACTTAATTGAATAAAATAATAGGAATAAGAACCTCTGTCATTTTATGAATGTTAATTAGCTTTTCGTTTGTGAGCTAAGTAATTTTTTCCTTGAAAGAATTAAAATTAATTAAGTAGTAACGCGATGAAATTAATCAATTGGCACACGTTGGTGAAAGAAATGAGCCGGCATTGACAGGTGATGAACACACGCGCAAAATATCCCGAGCATAGTCTTCAGCAAAATATCTAGAAGAACCCGAGAGAATATAGTAATTATTTTTAATTTTTAATCATATATTCGCAATAAATGTGTGGTCATATCGCCATAGGGAGTAGGGAGTAGGCACTGTATGGAAACCTCAAAGTCTTAGAACCTATTCACGATATCTTATTGGGGTGGGGGGTGGCACACAACCTACTCATTATAATATAATTACGAAAATCTTAAATTTTATTAACCTTATTTTGAAATTTAAGACTTTGGGTCCGTTTGGATCAGCGATTGGAAAAGCAGCTTATAGAAAAAGTAACTTATGGAAAAGTGAAGTTGGTAAAAGTTAAATTGGATAAGCTGAATTGTGTTTGGATTGGAGTTCAGACAAGCTAGTTTACAAAAATGAGATTGGAAAAAGCTTGTTTGGATTATAGTTGAGTAAAAGTAATTTTGGCTGAAAAATTGCCAAAATGGGCATGAGTTTTAATAAATAATAAAACATGATTAAAAAAATAATTTCACATAATACAATGAAATTAAAATAATTTAATATGAAGAAGTCATAAAAAATATTTTAAATATAAAGTGAAACATAAAAAAATAAAAGTATATTTTTAGGAGCATATTTAAAAATAAAAATATATTTCTAACTTATTCATTACTTTCAACTAATTTTAATTGATTTTTTATTATCTACAAATTAGTTATTTGAGGCTTATAATAAGAATCAAAAGAAGTAATAAATTTCTTAACTTTTTCTCTCTTCATATTTCAAAAGCCATAAGCTATAAGCCATAAGCTGTTAATTTTAGCTTATAGCTTATTGTAGCTTTTCAGACATAAGCCCGATTGCAAATAAGTGTTGCCAAACAGACCCTACTTTTTTCAATTGAGCTTATAGAGCTTATAGAGCTTATAAGCTACTTATAAGCTCTAAAAAAGTGTTTCCAAACAGGCACTTTGTCAGCAACATTCTCTAAGGCATGGCTGGTCTCATGTATAGTTAACATTTTGTGTTTGTCTAAAAATTTGATACACTTTTTTTTATAATTAATTACATAACATATATCTTTATATATTTATTGTTTTTAACTAATATTTTAACATACCTGATTTTTAGTTAATAGTAGTTGCTAACATATAAGGTGTATATTTTTTCAGGTAAAAAAAAAGAATAGTTTTAAATTTCCTCTCATTTTTTTTGAATATATATCAAAGAATCTATCGTCGGTAGTAGTTATTAATCGCCCCACCGCGAAGCCTTCACTTAAAGATGAACAGTTAGCCACAAGATACTTCTCATGGCTACGGATTCAAACCCCCCTTGCTACTTTGGTTAAAAGACAAGTGAGGCAATTCCCCACCGCCACTTGGTTAAAGGACCAAGTGAAATCAGTATATGTCACATTCGCTGGGTATTTTTCTCTCATATTACCTCCGATCTTTAATATAAAATCTCATTTGACTTTTATATTAGTCTTAAATATAAGACTCCAATTCGTTTTGTCTCTCATATTTGCTCAATTTTTTCCAAGATAGTTCTTCTAATAATTATAGTTTTAACCAACATACTTGATTAGTAAGGATATTTTAGAAAAGACAGCACCTATTCATTACAAATAACTAACGTAACTTGTTTTCTTAATTTCCTTAAATTAATCAGTTGGCTCTTATAATTAGGACCGGAGGTAATATTTGTTATGAACAGGATAAGGATAGTGGGTGCAAGTGGCAAGTGTCCATGAGTCGAAATCCAAGTCCAGTGATGCGTCTTAATTTTCCTGAGAAAATGACGAGCATGAAGAAGAAGAAAAAAACTAAATGCGGAGGAGAGGGGAGACAGACATCACATTCACCGGCTTACCAATTTTCTTGTCCAAAATATCTGTCCTGGTTCCAACTGTCCATCTGGCCTGGCCTCCATAACCCCATTGGCTAACCCCGCATTTGCATACTCCACGCATTATTTTTTTGGTGATGCAAGTTTTAGACGAGCTCGTTCGCAAGCTAAGGAGAGAAAATTTAACTCATAATTTTTTACAGGAACTAGCTCAAATAGAGAGGCGTATGCACCCCGCATTTGCATACGTGGGTACATTACTTTCTAGCGGTGTATTTAATTTGGAGGCAAGAGAAGCATTTGTGAAAAATATCTTCGACCAAATTTTTCTCATAAAATTACTTTTAAAAAGCTAATTCAAGCACTCTATAACTTTTCTATTCAGCTTTAAATATACTAAAATCTCTTTACTTGATTTAATAAAAATTAAAAAAAAAAGATTATTATATGAAATTATTAATATATATATAACTTATATATTTTCTTACAAATTAATCCTAACATTTGATAATGATTAGAATTTAAGGCGCATACGTAAAAATGTTCTAATAAATATGAATATTAAGGAAAAAAAATAGTTGGTGTAAAATACAGGAGAGAATTAAATGAACTCTATACTCACGACCGGCCAGTAGTGTCGAAATCTTTTTATCTTATGCTAAATAATATATAATGCTTCCATTAAAATGTATAGATCATATTCAATGAGACAGCTAGACGGGAAGCGTTTAAACCAATGGTTTATTACGAATATTATATGTTTTGATAAATAAAAAAATAGAAATGTCAGATGCTCATTCATGAATACTTCAGGCCAAAAATATGTTTCACCCAAACATTTTGATATTTGCTCTGATTTTAGGAGACTCAATTACTCAGTGTTCCTCGCGAAACAGTTTGGCAGCAAAAATGTTGTTTAATAATCTAATTAAAAAAAAATCTTCGACCACGATGAAAAATAACGAAATTAACCCCAAAAAGTTATCATAAAAATGTGCGAAACATGAAAAAGTCATACAAAAGAAGTCGTGCTTTTGTCACCAAACTAGCAGGGAGTGACCGGTGACGTGTCCAATAACTCTCATTCACCTCATGAAGACATAAAATAAGGTGAGGGGCCGGGCATATCTCAACGGTCTACGTTTAAATTTATTGTTTCCACGACTTATGCAAGTATTCAATGAATGTATTTGCAACATGCCAAATCCAAACACCCAAATAAATAGTAAACAAATGGACAACCTACTGCATGGTTTCGCCAGCAGTACGCAACCTAATTATTACTAGTAACACGCTTGTTTTAAAGCCTGGAAATTCTGGAAACATGGAATTTTCCTTAACAACTAGCAGTAAGTGTTTGAATCCAGCGTCTCTTTTCAGCTACCCGACTCAACATGTTTAATCATTCGATCACTGGTTAAAAAGAGTTTTGTCATGCTTCGTGTTTTACCACATTATATACGTGCCTTTCCAACAATAGCAGCCTTCTTACGGATGCAGATCCTTCCAGAGAGAAGTTAGTTAATTTGAAGGAAAAATGCAAAGAAGTGAGCCTTGCTTAATGCTGCATTCCGTCCTCGATATAAAAGCTAGATAACTAATTTAGAGATATTAAAAAAATTGATATCATTAGTTAAGTTATTTATTATTTGTCTGATCTTCCTTATGCTCTTCAATCATGAGTGTTGGATGATTGAAATTATCCCTTGATATGAACCATTTACTGTCAATATGATATTTTGACAAAAATAAAGAATAACAGGAATTAAGATTTATATTTACGATCAAATTTAATTTCAAATTAACTATTATATTAAAGTAATTAACTCAATAAGAGAAATAGCGTTTTAAGACAGTTTTCAATTGTGAGGAATGCCCTATTTTCTTCTGCTTCTCTTGCCATTACAGAAGGACAAACATCACAACATCAATAAGGATGGATACCTAATAGAAAAGTAGGCTCTTGGCCCCAAAAAAAAAAAAAAAAGGCAAGGAGGCTCCCATCTTGTCCTTATCATGGCATAGGAATGTCGTATCCATTTTCTTGTACTAGATAAAACTACCTGTATATTAGTTGCAGACGCTGTCATTACAAGGGCTGAACCTATGACCCTGTCGTTCTTGCTAATGTCTCTGGAGACATTATATTTATAGCATTCAGGCCACTCATAGAAGTGTCATATCTAATCAGTTCAAGCCTTTTTCTTTTATTTTTCTTTTTCGCAACAAGAATAAATAAAAAGTAACTCTCGAAAACAACTCACGCGATCAATCAATTAACACAACGAATAAAAATATAAAATGTAAAATTTGTAGCAAGATAGCAATGCATCGCACATGAGATCTGCCAAGTTAATTAGTTCATTGTCGTCCCACTCTTTGAATGATTGAGTTTCAGGAAAATAAAAAATAGATATTTGGTGATGTTGACTGTTGAGGTTGTATCAGCGTGGGTTCAGTCAGGTTATGGGCGTGTTTCCCGCCGAGAAAAATATTTCTTCTGCTTAAATTAAAAGTGATTTAAAATTGAAGTCGAAAAAATATGCGTTGTGCGGGAAAATCAGAGTCAACAATTTTGGGCCGAAGTGAAGGTTCATCTAGATGATCTTTTGCCGTCGTGGGCTTGTGCTGTGAAAGTCGGCGCATATACTTTAATTGCACCTCCCGGGCGCCAACCTCTAAACAAAGAGAATGTCAGGGCCCTTGGGTCACGAACTGATACCAACTCCTCTTTCCTGTTGGATTCATTATCCTGAATAAATGGACAGTAACCCATCTGAAACGAAGCATTAAAAATACTCCTTCAATTCTAAATATAAAATCCTTATGCTAATGTATAAAGGTTTTATATTTAGTACCAAAAGAGTATAAAATAAGTTATAAGAATTAAGATTAGGGTTGGGATTGAAAAAATTATTAAAAAGTGTTCAATATGAATAATTTCTTGTTATATGAAATTAGACGATCTCATGTAAGTAGAATTGAAAAATGTTATATTCTACCATGATATTCTCCCATCCCACATATATAAATTTGTCAAATTTCAAGTAACAAGCAATCTTTCATATTAAAAAATTTTTTAACATATTTTTTTAATCTTAATTCTTATCTTTTATTTTTAATGGCTCAAGGAAAGTAAATTCCATGTTAACAAGAATTTATGGGGGTTAAACTCGCAATCTTCTACGGACAAAAAGTACTTCATAGCGTTACGCTATGTTGTCAGGTGATTGACATGAAGGCTTGTCCTTTGATCTTTCGTGAAATCACTTTCTTAAGACGTCAATTATGAATGCAACTTAGTTAGAAGACGACATCTCGGGAAAATTGTTACGGTCGCATATCACCTTCGTAGACCCTGTCGCAGAAATCGATAGTTGAAACAGAAATGTCAAACTGAACACACACAAAGGTCTCAATCAACCAGTTAAGGTAGTAACTTGTTATCACCCTTGTCTCTGTCTTTGAAATACAACTTTAGACTTCAAATACTAATAATTCCCGAGAACACCATGAAAGGCGCCAGGCAATGCAGCGCATTGAATACGGAGAAAGCAGAAGACGCAGAAGAGTGAGAGGGAGACGGCGCAGGAGCTGCTTCGCGGTGGCCGTGTTGGACGGTGACGGCGACTTTCATACCCTGAAAGCAATAGCCTCCGCTAGAGAGGTAGTAGTGTGTCCTTGCCTCTGTCAACTGCACCACATCTCTCCCACCACGCGTCAAGTTTTTCACGAACCCTTCGTCTCTGCAATTCTCGTAGCTCGTCTCGTTCACCTCCAGAACGTTGAAGTATCGTTTGTCAAAGTTGAATACTGCATATACATATATCCATCTTTCTCATTTCAGCTCATGAGTTACTCATCATTAACACTAACACTACACATAATCCAAGTAGAAAATAGTAAAAACAGACCAACAGTACTTTTTCTCTTTGGGATTCTTTTAGTCTAAGAAGTTTTCACCTTTTCCTTTATCTTTTCCTGTCGTTATACATCCTCCGTCTAAACATGTATAGCCAGCGTGTTTTTGGTTATTTTTAGGTATGTATAGCTAGAATAGGAAACTGAAGAGTTCCTGGCCAAGAGGGGGGGGGGAAGGGAAGAAAGAAAGAAAGAGAACAAATGGAACTAGAGAATGATGAAATATCTAGGGGCGAATGGTATAGTGATTTTCTGGGTTTCAAATTGGAGAGGACCGGTCCAAATGTAATTCGCGAGGCCTTGGAGTTGGAACTGGGAAGCATTTTCTCGCCATTTTAAAGTCAGATTCTCTTTCTTTTTGTTCTGCTGGAAGCCAGAATTGTTCTTTTAACTTTTGCTTTTCCCTCCTTCTCGCGTCCTTTTAGTTGATAATCACTCAACACTCAACATATGTTATGAAACTGAATTTTACTAGGTGACTATTATATAAACTTAATGTATTTCATGTGCATGAAGCAAATCTTAATATCAAACTTAAATGACGTTGATATCTTTTATGCATGCCAGTTAAAACTTGAAACAGATCAATTCCAGGCATGCTCTACACAGGAGATGGATTAACTATATTATTTCATATGGTCTCAGTAATATTTCTAAATTTAGCAAAAAGGAGAAGGGAATATACTATTTTTTATTTTGGTGCTGTTATTAATGTGTTGATGATATATGCTAGATATTTTGGGCTATGGGAATGGGAATACATTGAGATCTAATGCCATTAAGTACATTGAGAAAGAAGATGCCTAACACCATCATAAACTTCTCTTCAACAAGTAAACTGAAAAACAGACATAGCATGCAGTAGTTACAGCGATCCCCTTGATCCCATTGATCCAAAGTATAGAGATCCAAAATGGTACACTTATTTCATTTGCACTTAGAATTAAAGAATCTAGATCATTTAAGTTATGAGATAAAAATGTCCATCATCAAGGAAAAAATTAATATACTGATATAAAAAAGGTGAGACGCTCAAGCTTCTGAGTTTTTGGATGGCCACCAGGCCAGTACAAGAAGCTCGAAGCGCACATTTGAGTGCCTTTCATAAAACATTTGTGTATACAGTTTAAAGGATTGAAACCATATTCCAATCTAAGACTGTTCGTACAGTGCGGGATCAATGAATTGAATGAAAGAAGGGAGTATCTATATAATAATTGGGGAATGGCGACAGAGAAATTCACATTCAGGATTAATTACTGTGAAATCCATATCGTCAAATAAAGAAAAAAAGAGAAATCGAAAAGGAAGGAAGTTGAACGAGAGCGAGTACTTACGGAGCCAATCGCCAAGAAAGAATTGCTCATGAGCAGACCATTCGTATAGTTAACGTCGTGATTGATCCAGCCTTTGGATCCACCCACCTTGTGCAGCATCGGATCTCCCATCGCAGCCATTATCGGCACCACCACCACCACCATGCTTATCAGTATCACTCTTAATCCCCAGTAGTTTCCCATCTCACTTTTTTCTCTCTTGCCAAACACACGCCCAAGAGAAAATGAGCCAAACTTACACCTCGAGAACCACGTTCTCCAATCTGGAACTGTGAGGCTGTGCTTAGCAGGGAACGGAAAAGTAACGGCTCACTCAATTTAAGAACAACTCCGCACCCGCCACCATGCAACAAGCGTGTAGGAGCTGGCACCATATACATTACTCTGCTGCTAATAAGGGCCCCACTTGATACCCTCTAAGCGATCTGTCACCGTACACGTGTACTTGAACTACCCAATCCCCTCTCATAATTACTCTTCTGCTATTCCTCCCTTGCTTTTTGATCAGCAACTTCAATTTCAGTAACACACCGCGCTTCACATATTACTAAAATTACTTTGGATATTAATTCTCAGTGTTTCATAATAAACCTTTATCGTTTTTTTATATATTTATCTCTCTCTTTTGGCCAGCTAATTTAGTGCTGTGAGCCTGTTGGCTATTTTATATTTGATATATGAATTAAGTTAGTTTCAAGTAAAATCAAGCCTCAAATGAAAGCTGTTCTAACATGTCTTTTATCCTCATCATCATTCATGAAGCTTCAACTTAAAACTTCGAAGGTACAACTCCCTTGTCGTCACTTATCAGTATTAACCGTTATTAATATTTTAGGATTAAGGTGTAAATTTGGGCGGAAAATTTTCTCTCAGAAATGCTAAGCATCTGAATAAGTTAAGGATGGTGTTGTCACTAAAACAATTTGTTGTTAACAAATATATACCCTAATGTTCAAGTATATGTGAGAGAAGCCACTGAATATAAATTTTTAGTTCGCATGCAACTCACCTTTGAAAGATTTTCTTTATTTATTTGGACCTCACCGGCCCTTAAAAGATTAGACGGATATATGTAGGAATATAATAGTAGCATAATAATACGTATAATGAGGTGGAAGGTGCGTGTACAAACAAAACTTGATAGAAGAAAAGCAGAAAAACAGAAAAAGGCGAGAAACTCTTACAAAAAAAAAAAAAAAGCAGTATGCAGCTGCAAAAGATAAATGAATGGGGGCCATGACCATGGGGGAGGGCTAGACAAATAAATTTTTTGGTTAACGAAAATTCTAAACATGTAGTTTTATTAAATTAAACCTTCTTAAATAGGGAGCACTGTTATCTAACTAAGTGGAATTCATTGAATAC